CACACACACACACACACACACACTGTTTGCTTTTGATTCTCTGGAGAACACTGACTATTACAAGGACTCACTACAGAGGCCTTGTCAGACTTGGGCAGAAGTTGGGTGGCCTTTCTCTAACAAGGTATAGGAGCTATTTAAGCAGGGACAGAGGCTACACTGGCATAGTGCAGGTGAGAGCCCAGCTGCAGCCCACAGCTGACTCTGTGGGCACCAGTAGCTCCAGAGGCAGCCATCACACTGCCCACCCTCCAGAGTCCTAACCCCGCCTTGGCTAAGAATGCTGTCAGCATCCCTGAAGGCCAGGAGCCATTTATGCTTTCTCAACTCTCAGCAAACCCCTGTATTTTCAGGGCATGGCTTGGCATACAGTATAACCCGGGCCAGGCACAGGACAGTCTTAGAGCCCACTGTGGCCTCCTGGTTTTCTTTTTGTAACCCAGAGTCCTATTCAAGAAATCGTTGAGCCCTTATCATGAGCTAAACATTATACTGTATACTGGGACTATAGCAAGAAATAAAACTGGCAAAAATCTCTGCCCTTGTAGAAATTACAGATTAGCAGGGTTCGGAGAAAAAAATAAATCCTATAGTAGAATATAGTTGGCCTTCATTGTACCCATGGGTTCTGCATCTTCAGATTTGACCAAATGCAGGTTGAAAATATTTGGGAAAGGAATTGCATATGTAATGAATTGGTACAGATATTTTGTCATTTTTCCTAAAAAGTACAGTAAAATAACTGTTTATGTAGCCACGTAGTTATGTATTATAAGCCACTTAGAGATGATTTAAAAGAATACAGGAAAATATACATACATTAAATGGCATTTTATATGAGGGATTTGAGCGTTCCTGAGTTTTGGTATCAGTGGGGTTCTGAAACCACCCCTTCATGGGACAACTGTATATAAACTCAAAACCGTAATGACGTAAGTTGACAATAAGGAGTTCAAATGAAAAATGAAACTGCAATGAATTGACCACTCTTGCTCCAAAATCCAACAGATATAAGTTTCAATCCTGTCCCTACACTTAGCCTGAGCAAAATACCCTCCATACCAGCTCCAGAGAATTAGAAGAGGTAATAGACCTGAGTCTATTGCAAAACACTGAAACTAAACCTCAGAGAGCGCTGGTGAGTTTACTTATAAGCTCCAGTCTTGTCCTTGTCCTGTGTTGTCTGTGAGATAAAATTACATACCTTAAGATAAGCAGAACTATAATTAGTATCACCCAGTCCATTTAGTCCAGATATGCATCAGACACCCAGGTGGGTGACCAGAACATGTGGGCTCATCCCTTTCCAAATGTTCCTGGTTTAGAAATTATAGATAAGCCAAGGCTAATGGTATCAGCCATATACCCTTGCTACCTGCCCTACTTCCCTATTGGATCAGTATTAGCTAAGTAGCTATACTTGTCATTTTATTGGTTGATTATAGCTTGACCTAAGTTGTACCCACATTTGTGACTTTGATGTATAAATTACCCCTGACAAAAGGACTTGGTGGAAACCCACTTTTTGAACCTCTCTTGTCCCTCAGGGACTATTCCTAATCCTCAGTAAACCTTTCCTACACTTAAAAATAGGCATACAGCAAGCCTAACCAATGGTCATCTTTATCCTGTGCTTCTCACGTGCCTTCTGCAAATATCCCAGAAAGGAGACACAAGATTTGGGCATTGTATTCTGGTGTTTATCTTAGGGGCCTCAGGTTTGCTAAGTAGTTACAGCAAACCAATGAAAACCAGAGAATGTGCAGAATGAGGGGAGCAGAGAAGAGAGTAATTGTTCTATCTTATTTTCTCATTGTTTGGACACAATACCCAACACCTAGTTAAAGGAGGAAAGGTTTATTTTAGCTCACAATTTGTAAAGCTTTCAGTCCATAGTCGGCTTGTTCCAAGACAGAGTGATATGGCAGAGGAGCTTGACAATGGAGAAACAGTCCATGGCAGGGCAGGCAGGAAGCAGCACATAAATCAAGGGAAACTGAGGGATATATACCCTCCAGCCACACCCACAGTGACCCACCTTCTCCCACCAGGCTCTGCCTCCCAGCATCACACACCCATGGTCCAGTCACCTCCCCAAAGCTCCACCTATGAGTGCATGAGGCTTTAGAGGGACATCTAGAGATAAGCTATCACATGTCAGTCACCACAGCTTCTTAGGGTTAGTCTCCCTCAGGAAAAATGCTCCCTGGACCATCGCTCATTGCCTGCCCTGCTCCTTTATCTAGCCATGACTTCCAAATTCCCCAACATACCAGTTTCCACACCACACTTTGTGTGTTTGTGCAGGCCGGTGCCCTTTAGCCTGTGCAGACCTGGGAATCCTACCATCTACTGCCCCATTCAAGGGAGAAAGCTGGAGGCCTTCCCCATGCTATCCCTCCACCCCACTCAGCCCTGCTCCTACTGAGTTACAGGGCCACTATTCACACAGAATGCCAAGGCCCTGGAGCCTCTTGTTCAGGAAAGGACAGAAACCACCCAGAAGCCCTGGTCAACCTTGTTCTGTACATCTGCTTCAAAAGAGACCATCTCCAAGGCCTCAGAATGGTCCGCCTTATGCCCATTGTCCTCCCTGACCCGTGAGATTTCAGCTTCCGCATTTTCTTTCTTTGCTGTGATGCTTAAACTTGAAGTTCTCCACAAGCTGCCATTGGGCTGGCTTCCCTGTCTTCCCGCTCTGCTCTTTCTCATCTTTATCTCAGCTGCTGTCTTCTACACTGAGCCCCTGGCCATCCCCCAACACAGCACACTACTACTTCCCTCCAAAGCACAGATTGTAATTTGCAATTCATGTCTCTCTGTGTGTCTGCCCCCTCCCCCTTTACTCTCTTCCATTAGTTTTTGTTTAGTTTGGGTTTTGTTTTACTGAGAAAGGTTCTCATTACTTCACCCGAGCTTATGTCAAACTTGTGATCCTCCTGCCCCAGTCTCCTGAGTAGAGTGGATTACAGGCATGTACCACCATGCCCAGGGCCCATAAAATTCTTAATCATGCAAAAGCAGTAGGCACTGCTGCTATCTTATTCATCAGTACATTTAGTACCTGGAATATCACAGTTACTCAATAAATATTTGTGTGTGAATAAATGAATACATGAACAAATGGATTTCTTTTAGCTCTTCTGCCTGTGGGCATCATCTAAGCATGTGTATGGCTGAATTTTGGGTCTGCTGATAACGCTTCCTGAAGACAGACATGGATTCTGGTTCCCCAGCATCTAGCATAACTCTGGGCATACAATAGTAAATAAAAATATCAAGGACCCAAGGGACATTAATCCAATATTCTATGGCAACAAAGAGTTTATCAGGTCCTTGCCAGTATTCTGTGCCATGAGAATCCCTGGGGGCTGACCATAGGAAGAGAGTCTTTTAATTGTAAAGCTAAATCTGGTTCAGTCATTCACAAATTTGTCCATATCCTGTTTTAATTCACTTCATCCCCATTCAGTCATTTTGTAGAAAGGGACAAAAAGCACCAAGCAGTGCATTCACACCTTGTTGCTCAGTGTGGTCTTTAAACCAGTGGTTTCCACTGCCAGGAAGCGTATGAGAAATACAGATTCTCCAACTTGCCCCAGACTTACTAGATCAGAATCTACTTTTCTATCAGTATTATAGAGGGTTTGCATGTATATTAAACTTTGAGAAGCACTGAGCTATAGCAAAAGATAGATCCTGAGTCAGTCCTGTAGCTAGAGACAAGCATTGCCTGAATAAAGAGCATGGACTGTGTGTTGACGGATGTGAGAGTAAACATTGTGAGAGCTTTCAGTCTAAAGAAATTCACCCAGAAAAGCCAAGCACATCTTGTAACCTCCTTAACGCTTTCTTTCGCAATTTTGTTCTGAGCACAATGGGAAGCTTGAGAGAGAGTCTGTATAGCAAGAGAAGGAGTAAAGGAACTGTCCCTGCTTGAGGGTAATCATAATCTTGATAGGTAGTCACAGCCTTTGTAATTCTGATTATGTAATTTCAGTGAAATCTCCTCCTCTTTCTTGAACCACACTTACCTCTCCTTCATTGTACAGTCCGTGCAAAACCCCGGAGTCCAGGCTAAGCCTTTATCTTTCCAGGAGTGTCCTTCTTTGTTGAGCACATCTTCACTCCCCTCCGGCCATGTGGTCCTGCTGCTAGGAACCGTAGCACAGTGTTCCAGGAATCAGAGATAAGCCCCCTTCTCTCAGTGTCTTGGGTTTTTTGTTTCGTTTTGCTTTTTGTTTGGGTTTTTTGTTTGTTTTTTGTGGCAAGATCTCAAGTTGCAGTGCTGGTTGGCCTTGAACTCACTATGTAGCCCAGACTGGTCTCTAATTCATGGCAGTCCTCCTGCCTCATCCTCCCTAGTGCTGGGATTGCAGGCATGCGCCACCATGCCCAGCTTACATTTTTTAGCTTCTGAACGCACAATGGAGATGCTCAGTATTGGATTAAAGTTCCTAAAATGAATCTTGAATCACTTCTTCTACCACCATGCAGGAGCCAGCAGGAGGCTATACAAAGTCATGGTGAGAGTATAGGTAGAGAGTCCCGGGTTCAAGTCCTAACTCAACCATTTGCTTACTGTGTGACCTTGAGCAAATTTTTTAACATCTCTGATCTTTTGCTTTTTTCTTGAAACTAATTCTCTGTTATATAAGGATATTGTGATGGCTTAGCATAAATTGAGTATTTGATTTATTAAATAAATATGCATTAAACATCTAATATATATATATGGGCCCTTTAAAGAGCTGTGGGGGCTTTAAAAGTGGGTAATTTTAGACAAGAGCCCTGCATCATGAAACTTATCAGTCCAGCGGAGGAAAACTCCATTAGTGGAATAATCACCCAAATGAATCTTAAGTGACAATGTAGTATGTGCTTTGAAGAGAAAAATATAAAAGCTATAAGGATAAAAAAGGGAGCCAAACTAGCCCAGAAGGTCAGGGAGGCTTATCTTGAAAAGCAACCACATGTTGTCACTGTGCACCTCTTTTCAGGTACCTGGAAGGAAACCACTTAACAGCTGTTCCCAGAGAGCTGTCAGCCCTCCGACACCTGACACTTATGTAAGGACCCGGATGTTGGGTGGGACATGTATTTTTGGCTTTGGAGGTAACTCAGAAAGCTGGTGTGGAGAGTAAAAGAAAAGAGTACTGCTGGCTGACACAGCCTTTCCTAACTTTTTTCCCTGGAAGGAGTGGATAAATGCACTAGGAGGAACAGATGGCTGAGATTACTCATGCAGGTTACCCACAGCCAGGCATCATGGGCCACCCAAACCACCTTCCTGCTTGGCTTGGATGGGAGAAGCCTCTGACCTTCCATGGTCCATGCTGAACTCCTGAGCCTCCTCTGTCTCCAGCTTCTTACAAGCCATGGTTGTGCTTAGATTTGCCAAAAGCATAAAATGATTATTTCTCCTTTCTCCTCCTTTAATTCCATGTGAAACATCCAAGTAGATGATTCAAACTGAGGATTCTTCAGATGGTAGCTGCTGACTACCGCCTAGTCTTCCAAGACCTAAAAAGGCCCTAATAAGAAGCAGAAGTGCTGGGCATGAGCCAGACTCAGAAAACCAGCCTACCGCCTTGCCACAATGGGGCGGGGGAAGAAGAGTTTTTCAGGGCAGGTGGTAACTGGAAGATGTCCATGTCTGCATAGGAGGACAGGGGCCAGGCCACAAGAGGAAAATGAGGGCTCTTTCAGAATGAAAGAGCATCACTCTTTGGAAAGAAGCAGACCCACTAATGAAAGATAGGGGGGAAAAGCCACCTGTGTTTGGATACCCTAAAACCAGTGTCTAGATGAGGGCACTATGGTCATCTGAAGCCAGATCTTTCTTGGATGTGGGGAGCCGGCATGGATATTGTGGAATGTTTATTAGTATCCCTGACCCCTGCTAGATACCAGTGGTGCTTCTCCCAATAGGGACAACCAAAAATGTGTTCAGACATTGCTAATGTCATTAGAAGAGCAAAAGTTCCCCTAGCTGGGAACTACTGCTCTATAGCAATGATTAGAAGACTCTCCAAAGGAAGAGGAGGAAGAGGAAGAGGCAGAACAGGAGGAAGAGGAAGAAGAGAAAGAATTGTTTCTAATACCTGTGCTTAAGCCCATACTGCACCATTTAAATCAAACTATCTGGGCACAAAACTCAGATATCAGAGGATTTAAAAGTTCTTCAGGTGATTCAAATGTGGAGCTAACGTTGCCACTGCTCTGGGTATTTATCTCCAAAGAAAAGCTGTAGATTCATTTATTTCATCCTATCAGATTTGTAGGAGGAATGAAGTGGTGGGGGTATATGAGTAGGAAGATAGATCAATGGATGGATCAGTGGTAGATGGAGGAGTGAATGAAAAGTGGGTGAATGAGCAGGCGGGCAGAGAGGAGGATGGGGTGGGTGAATGAGTGGGTGGATACATAGAGGGGCAGATGGATGAACTTACTGGAGAATTCGTGTATGATACTTTGGAATGGCCTCCTTCAGATGCAATTTCCATTAAACTTTGACTCTTGTGTTTTACTTTTCCCAGTGACCTGAGCAACAACAGCATTGGCATGCTGACCAATTACACCTTCAGCAATATGTCTCACCTCTCCACTCTGTGAGTACAGCGAGAATCCATATATACTGTTCTCATGGGCCAGCAGTGAGTGACCATCTTTTCCCCCGTCCCCTCAGGTTCTCTGCTTTAGTGAGGTTGTCCTCAGGGCTGTGGTTGTCCAGGCAAAGGGTAAACCTTAGTCATCAAAAGGAAACTAAAGTAGGTAGGAACTTTAGGTAGACCGAGAAACTGGGAGAAACTGGAACTTCATTACTTCTAAAGAAGACTCTGTAAAATAGCTTCCAGGATGTGTGAATTTCCTTTCCCAGTGGAGGGTTTCCCTACACAATTACATTTGCATGAATCCATTTATTTTCCATTAGCTTTGCGTGGGATAAGCACATACCATTTGACAGGAGAGATGCTATGGGAAGCTGGTGATAGCATCAGCCTGCCACGGAACATGGTGGGAACCTGGAAAGTTCTCTTCCCTTTATTGCTAGGAGGCTTTTGGCAATATAAGACTGGGGAGTTGAGGAGCTTTTGCTCTGACCGATTCACAGCGTAAACAGTGCACCATGAGTGGTAAGAGCACCAGCTAACTCCTACCCCGCTTTCCTCTCAGGATCCTGAGCTACAACCGGCTGCGGTGCATCCCGATCCACGCCTTCAACGGGCTGCAGTCTCTCCGAGTGCTGTGAGTACCCAGGGTGCCCTGGGAGCTGCCCGGTACTGGGGAACAGTAGGAGGAATACTGAGCACGCCCCTTCTTCACTCTCCTTGCTCCAGGCCCTCACCTCCCGCCCAGCACTCTTATTTGTGCAGAGATCCAGAGTACCCTGAGAGTCATCCACTGCTGGGGTGCAGCCCATTACTGCTCGTGGGACCGTGGGCGCCTCACATATCTCCTGGGTCTCCAGCTCTTTATTTATAAAATGGGATTGGCAGGGCTCCCCTTCTGAAGATAGGGAAGCTTGTCACACCCTGCGCTCCAGTAGTGAGCTCAGAGTGTGGCAGGCAGCTCATTTGCATGATCAGCCTGTGCAGGAGTGGCGTCTGGCCTCAGAGGAGTGACTCAGCATGGTCCATCCTCCTCGAGGAAACACAACTCACATACCAGAGGTTACGGGACCCTGGGCCGGCTCACAGAGAGTTGGTGCAGAGTGTGTTTTACCGAAAGAAAAAAGCTGCCAGTATTTAACTAACTCAGGGAAATCCTAACTTCCACATTCTCTTAGAAAATTGAAGCTCCTGGCCTTTCGAGGGCCTTGCCTCTGCATTCCTTCATGGTTGAGCAGCCCTGCAGCTCTGGACGGGGTGGTGCAGTCTGCAGCCTCCAGACCTGTCCCACCCTTGTCATCTGCCTGGCCCTGTCCAGCTGTTGAACAGGGTGGCCAAACTGAGGCACATTTGCTCTGGATAAAGTCTAGAGCGCCACCGAGTCACCTGCTTTCCGAGCACAGCTCTGTTCCTCCCTCTTTGTGTGTCTTTTCATCCATGAAATCAAATCATTACAGTAATTGTCTCACAGAGTCTTATAAGGATTAATTGAGAGGCTGCATGTAAAGGACTTAGCACAGGACTGGCCACTGTAAACATAAATATACGTTTGTTATTACTCTTCTCACTTGCTAGCTTGCTAGGGCAGGAAGGCACCCAACCTAGGTCCTACTGTCACCTGATCTTTGTGCTCCTCTATCTCGTATTTTATTTGTAAAGAAAGATATTGTGAATGGGTCCTTTGACTATCAGCCCTCGAATAACATTCTCATGAGAACAGAGACACCAGACACGCTGCCCAAACCTGTCAATCTTTTCCATTTCAGGCCCATTATTACTATAATAGTCACCTCCATATTTGACAGGGCTTTTTGTGCCCATTTCTTCATGTAACCTTTTGCAACAATGCTGTCAGCTTCAGCAGATACCAATTTTTAAAGGGGGGAAACTGAGACCCACACTGAAGTAGTAATGGGGAAACTGGGGTGAAGTAGATAACCAAGGTCTGCTAGTCACTCACAATCCAGCCTCCAGATTCGGAGTCCCAGCACCCTCCCCAGGGCCTGGTAACATCAGCAAACAGCACCCAACAAGCTGGTCCATTCCAGCCAGAGGCTCCAGCCTGATGTGATTTATTGAAGCCCACAAAACACCCATGTCAGCGACAACTCCCGCCACATGTCATCTGCACTGTTATTAAAAATCAATTCTCTGGGGGCAAAGAAGTACCCGCAGTGACAGTGTGCAATCTGTTATTGTCACTTATTTATTATCCACCTTCTCTGGGGAGTTTGAGAATGGAAACATCCACGGAACCATTTTCCCATTTCCAATTGAACACAACAGGAGATAAGCATGTCTCACTGGCCGGGGTGAAAGCTGGACGGGTGCCGCCGTCCCAGCTCCCGCTGTCCCCCCACACCTGGCCCAGCTATGCCTGCCATCCCTGTCTAACAGCCCTGTGTGGGTTTGCTCATGGGGGCGCTACCAGTTTTAAGCAGATCTGTGCGCATATGCTCTTAATTAAAGTAGCTGTGATGGGGACATCTCAGTGTATACGAGGGAGAGAAAAATAGCATTGGCCTGCAGATTTGCTATCTGCTGGTGGTGGAGTAAGCATCAACAGCCTGTCCAGGGGTTCTGGACTACTTTGTGTGTCCCTCCCTGGCACCAGTACTACATTGTAGTCAATCTGAAATACACATGAACATATAACACGACTTCAGTATTAGTAGGCTTTTAGCATCACTGTTTTAGAATCATAGGATCTCAGGGATAAAAGGAAATTTCCCAAACCCTCAGTCCAACCATCTATCTCAGCAGGGAGTCAACATTTACTGCGTAAAGGCCAATTCAGGAAAAATAAAAGTGTTTACAGGCTACAGTTTTATGATATTTGTATCCTTTCTCTCAGTAATTGCACATGTAGGAATTTGTATTCAAGAATAACTCAAAATGAGGGAAAGGTTCTGTGCATTAAGATCTTTGTTGTGCTGTTATTTTTAACCTAAATGTTAAATATCACCTACAAGGACCATATTGGGGAAATGTTTAAGGGAGCTATAATACAACCAGTCAGTAAAGTGTAGTTATTAAAAGAGGTAAAGAAGAAGACTAATAGCATTGTGGGAAAGGGTTTATCACACAGCATCTACCTGGATAAAGAAATGTAATTTAATTATAGCTCATTAGCATTTTTTCCATATAAAGAAAGACCGTCAGGGAAGATGTGAAAAAATATCATTAATAACCAGCTGTTGATATAGTTGTTTCTGTAATAACTGAAGGCAAAATTAAAGATGAATGAAGATGTAACATATTTACAAGTTAGGGAGCAGAGAAAGGTTTTTGAAAGACATTACATTATCTGCAGCTGTGTTTGAGCGTTGGTCTAGACCCTTGTTTCTGATCTTTCTTTATTATGATGAGCATTTCAGAGATGATCAATGCTTAGAGTTTGACACAAAAAGAAAGATGAATATTAAAAGTTTAACCATGCAAAAAGCTGAAAAAGTGATCAGAAAGCAATTGATGACTTGGGAGGGGCCCAATATGTATGAGTGTGTGGATGAGGATGTGAACTGTGATATTGGTGAAGGGAGCTGCGCGGGTGTGCTGTGAGTGTGTCAGTGTTGGTGTAGACTGTGTTCAAGGGTGGGTATAAATGCATTTCAGTACATCATACAGGAGGGTGGTCAGTAGCCCTGAATACAAAACATCATGTGAAAACCTTTCCCTACTTCACTCCCAACATAAAATAGCTAGAAGAACACATTCTGTTGCACACTGTAGTTCTTCAGGGACCCGTGCACACCCTGATCTTTGCCCCACACTGAGCCCCATGCCTCGTATGTGTGGGGTCCCCAATGTCACTCTCATTCCTGGCCACAGGAGGCCGCCTGGAATCAGTGAGCACCAAGGAGGCTCTCAGCGTGTGCTCATGAGGCAGCCAGAGGAGTTATCATTCATCATGCTCAGGATTTTTAGCTCCAAGTCCCTGCAGTACGACGGTGCTGTTTATACCCATGCAGCTTACAGACTGCATGCATCCTTCCTGCAGCACACATCCTGGGGAAGGACTCACTTGCCCTTTGCTTGATTACCTTCCAAACAACGCTCACTCCTTTCCCACATAGTTCAACTGCACTTTTGACTAATTGTTAAACATCAGAAAATTCTTCAAGTGAGCCCAAAGGTACTCCTGTACAAACCATGATCTGGGCTTGGCTCTTTCATGGTCCCAAAATAAAAATAAATGCAAAGTTTAGCTATAAAATCTTACATATGAAGACATCTTAGAAAGTTTTCTGTGCAGATCTTTCATTTATAAACTTGTTCAGGACTTTTCCCTTATTCATCGTTTCCTAAATGCATACTCGGGATTAATTGCTGTGCCAACTCCAGGGTGGGGAAGTCAGTGAATAAGCCACAGTGCTAATCTCAGGAAGCCTTGGTCGAGAGGGGAAGTAATCAGTAAGCACCTTCAGTACAGGCGACACCTGAGAGAAGAACCGTGGGGGACAGTCTGAGGCTCAGAACCCAGGCCTGGCCACCTAGACTTTCTGAAAGGACAGACCATGCCTGTGCACTGCACCGGGGGCCACATGCTTCACTTACATTATCAGATGGCTCTTCACCCTATGGAGAACATACCACAGTTATCTCCATTTCACAGAGGGGCAAACTGAGGCTGAGTGAAATGCAGTAACTTGCCCACAGTGACACAAGCCATCCGTAGTTTTGGAATTTGCCTCCAAGACTATTCACTTTCAGAATCATTCCTCTTAACCTGCACTTCCAAGGCTGAGAACAAGAATCTAGTGAGGGTTCTTGGAGTGGGGAAGAGAGTGAGGAACATTCTTGACAGGAAGAATACAAGTGCCTGAAGAAGGGGAGTACACTGAGGGAGTCCCAGAAGCTGCAGGTGTGGCTGCAGTGCTGCCTCTGAGGCTGGAGCAGGGAGATGTTACAGAACAGCCAAGGTACAGGCTACGCCAAGGCTGGAGCCCGTGTCTCCCGCTCCTCTTCCCCCACATCCTCCCTCCTTCCCCATCACAGGTCATCACTGTCTTTCTCCACACCCCTTTCTGACTTTTCCTGAAAACTAGAGGGTTCTCCTCCTTGCCAAGAGGCCTCTGATGTTTGGAAGGGGAGACTCAGAAGAAGGCTGATTGGCCACTCGGCCAAACTGAGTGTGTGTCCTCCCCAGTCCTGGGATCGAGCACCTTAGAAAGAAGCAAAGTGCATGATTTCAAGTTTCTGCTGTATATGGGGAACTCCTTGAGAGAACCAGCCCTCAAGTACTTGCAAGTACACGGTGGGGCCAGGGCTGACATAGTCAGGCACTTCTCCTGTGCAGGCCCTGCCCTGGATCTAGCATCAGTCCTGCATCATTTGCAGCACTTGAATCCTCTCTTTTGGTCCTCCTAATTGGCTGATGAAGTGATATATCAGACCCCATTCTCGTTAAGGGACAGAAAATTAGCTCAAACCACCTTAAGCCTAAAACAAGAATTTATCAGTGGCAAGTAATGGGCAGTGTGGCCGGATGCGGTATCCTAGAGGCGTTGTCAGGAGCGTGGCACTCTCTGCCTCTGAACCTTCTTTCCTGAGTAGGTTTTGCTCTCAGGCCGTCTTTTTCAACTTGAGGCACAGAATATCCACTTAGCAGGCCCACAGAAGGAAACCATCTGACTTTACAGGTCTGGAAAAAGCCAAAAAGTGTAGGAAAGTTCCACCTGTCCCCCTGTGAAAGTTCACCTCTCAGTCTATTGAACAGACAGATTGAGAAAAGGTATATGAGCACACATGCACATGGGAGCCACATAAAAATACAACAGTGCAAAGCAGGACCAGATGAGCGGGGCTTAAATAACTCCTTCGTGCAAAAGAATGGATTGGGGTGCTCTGGGCAATTATAGAGGGGCAATAAATAACATGTAGGGGAAAGAATGAGCCCAGGAAAGGGGGACAGAATTCCTCTAGGCTCTTGCTATGGTGGTTGACTTTCAGTCTTCTCTGTGATATGAGTTTGCTCTTGCTGGGTTAATTAAATATGAGTAAAAAGACTGAAGAGAGTGACATTTCTTTGTGGTTGATCTGGTCTTTGATAAAGGAACTTGGGAAAGTTCCTTCCTATGCTTTGAGAGAAAGGATCAAGAGAAATCGGATAAGTGGTGGATAGCAAGGATGTGTAGGGTATGATGAGAGAAACCTCAAAGCTGCTCCTGTAGTCCAGCATGTCACAGTGCCGTACTTTGGGAGGCTGACACAGGAGGATCACTGTGAGTTCAGTGTCAGAATTAGAGCTTCATGCCTCTCTGCCAGCCCAAGACCCAGTCACAAATTATTAACATCAGGGCTGGGTGCATTGGCAAAACAGCAAGCAGCCACCAAGTCCTCTAAGGCAATAGCCTTGAATTAGAGACTAAATGGTGCTAATAAGCACATTAGGAAGTGCTTCTAGCTCCTTCTTACCCAAGGAGGTGAGAAACCACCATGGACACTGTTTGCAGAAAACTATTAACCATCTTCCAGCTGTCCTGGCTGCCTAAGAATGGAGGATGACTTTCATCTTGAGAATCTCACCCACAAACTGCCAGGGGACCAGAAGGAGCTGATGGTGATGAGGATGACAATGGATGATAACCACCAGAAAGAGGAGGAGAGAAAGGGTTGGAAGGTAGCTTAGTGATAAGCATATGCTTAGTTTGTGCAGGTACCTAGGTTTCATGGCAGCACGATTGATTGACAGACAGACAGACGGACCACCAGCCCAAGAGATGGATAGATAGGGAGATCCTGTAGGAGGAGGAAGAAAATGAGGACCTTGGCAGAAAGCAGTATGAGAAAACTGTCAGCCCCTTGGCCCTTCAAGCACACTAGAAACTTGACAGAAACAGAATCTCAGATCCCATCCATATGCACAGAATCAGTGTCACTGGCAATGGGGCTTAAAAATCTGCATAATTTCTAGAACCAGTGCTGGCTCAATGTGAGAGCCCCCCCCCACCCCACTTTATTAAGTGTAATTAAGTTCCCATCTCTGTCTCAGCCGGAAGACCCAGAGCAGGCTAAGTTCAGCTGAAAGGAAAACAAAAGAGCTGGTTCATTAGTTACCATCCTGTTTATACTTGCACTGTCAATGCTAATTGCCTCTTTGTTTTACTAGGGCTCCCTGCCTGCACTAAAGTTATTAGTCCTTACCCTTAAGGGGGCTTTATCACCCGCACAGTTGATGGTGCTCATCAGTCACTAAAGAATCCTGCGAGTTTCTGTGGTTCTCACCCACCTTGCATTTCATAGACCAGATCCAAAGTGAGCCATCAGTGGGGATTTTTTTATGCAGTTGATGATTAATCCTTTAATAGAGAACATAATCCCTGAATCGTAGACAGGCTCTTATTCCTTAAGCACAGAGCAATGCTCACTCTGTTTTTACACAGACATATCCTCCAGGCATTTGTCAAAGGCTCAGTATACATGGATGCTTTGCAAGTGAGAATAGCTCTTAGCTGCCTACACCCTAGGGTAGAGAGAAGCGACTGATACCAAGTATGTGCCTTAGCCCTTGGACTGGCTGTCAGGAGATGCATTTAGATGGCACACTAATGCCAGATTCATGTATGTGCATGGCCAATACCAAGTCCTTTCCCATAAAGACAAGTGTCTGGCTCCAGGGAATACCCTAGGACCTAAGTGTCACTTCCCTCTACCACCTGAGCCAGGATTGATAGTATTTCTCAATCTACCTAAAACTTCTTCAAGGAAGTTTGCAGAGAACCAACTTATTAAGCTCCTTTATTTATGCCAGAGTTTTTTTTTTTTTTTCAAGATCCTTTCACCAGTGTTAATAATGGGTCATCACTTAGCACTTAGAAAATGCCAGCCTGTTGTCCACATGTATTAATACATCCAGGACAAATCCTACCATGTTCATTCTAGGAAATGGAGGCTCAGAGAAAGTAAAGCACAGCTGGTAAGGAGGAGAGTTAGGATGTAAATCCAATCAAAGTGGCTCCCAATCTTATGATCTTAACCACAAGAAAATACCATCATATCCCTGAAACTTCAGGGACTCCTATAGGCAGATCTGCCTCTCCATTTTTCAGATACAGAAATGGAGGCCCAGAAAAATATCCCAGCACTAAAATGGACTGACTTCTGACTCCATCCCAAGTGTGTTAGCTATAAAAGTACAGCTTCTTCTTCCCAAACCCTCTGCCCTCCATCCCTGCTCCTGAGCGGGGCTGAGGCACACCCAATTCCTGTAGCATAGTGGGCAGCTGCTCCTCCTAGAGAACTAGGGAAGGCCAGCTCAGCTGGCCAGGCTTGGAGACCAGAGAGTGTGCTGGGTTCAGACTGTGACTGGGTACAACCTTCTGACCTGTGCCTTTTGCCTTAGCACCCTTCATGGCAATGACATTTCCAGCGTTCCTGAAGGCTCCTTCAATGACCTGACATCTCTCTCCCACCTGTAAGTAGCCATAATTCTCCCCAGTGTGCATTTACTCAAAACAGAAAATTATGATAGCACCAGTAACAATTTGGTGTATGTCCTTTCCATAGGTACAGACGGTCCTTTCTGCAAATTTGCATAGACTGCATGGGAGACCCCATGCTACCAAACCCCTTACATTAAATGGCATAATATTCCCATGTACCCTATTCACACCCTCCTGTATACTTTAAATTGTCTCTCGATTATTTACAGTGCCCAATACAGTGGAAATGCTATATAAACAGTTGCTGTGCTGTATTGGTTAGAAAATAATGACAGGATAACAGGTCTATTCATGTCCAGTATAGATGCAATTTTTTACTGTTATTTCCAATCCACATTTGGTTGAACTGCAGGTGTGCAACCTGAAGATTCTGAAGACCAACTGTAGTTTATTTTATGATGCTGTATTTATACTGCTCACATTTGTCTTGTTCTGTGCTTCAGATGCCTTCAAAGGAGATGCAATTCTGTAAACTGTAAATATTTAATAAGAACTAGCAGAAAACACTTACTATGTGCCAAATGTGTAGTTGGATTATTGAATTTATTTCTTACAGCAGTGAGACATTTTTATCACTTTATACACGATGAAAGTAAAACTTAGAAAGTTAAAGAATGTGCCCAGGCATTGCATAGCCAGTAAGGAGCAGAGCCAGAGGTCAGCTCAAGGACTCCCCTGAATCCACAGCACATATTATTAACATTCTGCTTTCTGCAGCAAGTGCACCCTTATTTTACAAGAAATATTAATTGACTAGCTGAGACTCACCCATAAAGCTAATGAGACTTGGACTGGAACTCAGGCTCCCTAACCCCCAGCATAGCCTTCTCTTCCCCAGATCAGGGATTTCCAGTTTGCTGTTTGGATTTTGATTACATTTCTCTATTAGGGACATTTTTTTGAGTCTCAGTTGCTTCTATATGTGTATTTATTTTCATACTATATAGATTATGATATTGACATTATATATGCCTATATTACCAAATATTCAAAACTGGAAATGGTAATTCATAGAATTTAAGTTCTAGTATGTTCTCCCTAGATACTGCTTTGGAGATGTCTACAGGGAACTCTGCCCTCCTCACCTGCATCTTTAAGCTGAGTGATCTCAAGTTGGTTCATAAGTTCTGAGTCTCAGAACCTTCTTCGGAGAATATATGAGAATGTATGAGAAAGCAGGATTAGGCTAGGCTCAGGATAGAATTTTTTAAGGGTAGTAAAACAGAGCATCAGAAGTGAGAGGGACTTGGGTGAGGTGAGACCATGCATCTCGCTGGAAATTCACTCTGGAGACATTGACTCAGTGCCAATGAATGCCAGTCTCATGTCAGACATTCCCAACTAAAGTTGAAAAGTTCTGCTTCTCCAGGAAGCTGAGGAGATGGAGCCCATGGGCCAGGATGGGCAGCGTGCCCTAACTGCTTGTTCTGTCTTTTAGGGCGCTGGGAACCAACCCACTCCATTGTGACTGCAATCTGCGTTGGTTATCAGAGTGGGTGAAGGCAGGGTACAAGGAGCCTGGCATCGCCCGCTGCAGTGGCCCCGAGTCCATGGCAGACAGACTCCTGCTCACCACTCCCACCCACCGGTTCCAGTGCAAAGGTAGGCGCTACCCACCCACCCACTTCCCTACCCTTTTGGTGTCCGCCCTGTCTCCAACAGCCTGTCAGAACTGGACATCTCAAAAGACGTGACTTCTAAAACCATTACCCTGTCTCTCCCATGGCTCACAGAGAGACTGTAATGCTGACATCAGTATGGAAACATATCTGAAGATCTTTTATCATTCTGTACCCCATGGCCTTCTGCTGCCTTGTTTCGTTTGATTTGTTGGTTGGTTTTTGTGCTGGAGATTGAAGCGAGGGCCTGCAGCGTGCTAAGCATGTGCACCACTGAGGCACATCCCCACTCTGCTATCATTTCCACATAGTCATCCCTCAGTATCCATGGGGAACTGGTTCTAGAATCCCCCACAGATACATAGCCAAATGTGAGGGCACTCAGGTCTTCTGTATAAAATGGTGTCATATTTGCATATAACTGTGTAGGTCTTGCTATGTATGTTAAATCATCTCTAGATTATCTGAAATACCCAATGAAATATAATGCTGTATAAAAAGTTGTTGCATGTATTTTTTAGGAATACTGACCCCAAAAAAGAAGTCTGTACATGTTTAGCATAGACAAAATTGTTTTTGCAAGTATTTCCCATCTGTGGTTGGTTGAATCATGCATGCAGGATACCAACTATACTTCTTCACTGACTTCTGTATGCAGTTTTCCATAATTGAGAGCACCTTTAGTCTACATTTTTATCCATCATTATTAGATTTTCCCATTGAACTACAGAAAACTTTTTGTACATGTGCTTTGTATTGGCTTCATCATTATGATAACTACTGAGATTCTCATTATGTGGTGGTGTCTTATTCATTTGTCTCATTGCTGAGACAACACCACAAGTTAAAGGAGGAAAGGTTCAATTTACAGAGGTTTCCACAGTTGGCAGGCTGCAAGGCAGGGTAACATGGCAGACAGGCATTGCAGAGGGGAAGGAGTTTACGGTGTGGTGAGGCAGGCAACAGACAGCAAGCAAGCAGGCCAAACAGCAGGAGCAGCAGGAGCCTGCCTCTCCCCTTATCCCATCCAGGCTACCAGCTCCACTCAGGGTGGCGCGCCCTTAATCCAGTACTGTATGTGTATCCCCAGCATCACACACCCTAGATTCATGCACCCAAAAGCCCCATGTATGACTGCATGAGGCTTTGCGGGGACACCTGGATACAAGCCCTAACAGGTAGGCACTATGTTAAGAAGTTTCTATTAATTAGTACATGTAGTGAGACAGGTAGTGTATAATTTGAAGAATTAGTACCTACATATATCTTGATCACTGTCAAGTCCTTTACCCTTCTCTCTTAAATCTCTCCTCTGCTTGATTTCCAAGAGCTGACCTTCTACTTTCCTACTGTCCCTATTTTATTCATTTATATTTTAGATTTCTCATATAAGAGAAAGTGTATAATATTTAACTCTGAGTCTAGCCTGTTTTATTTAACATGATGGTCTTGAGTTCCGTCTACTTTCCTGTAAATGACATGACTTCATTCTTTATGGCTGAATAATATTCTATTGTGTATATATAAGCCACCCTTTCTCTATCCATTCATCTGTTGATAAGCATCTCGTCTCTTCACAGCCTCAATATTGTGAATTGTGGCGCTATCAACACTGGCGTGAATGTATTACTATAATATGCCATTTCTGGTTCTCTTGGAAATATGCCCAGGAGCGGTAATGGTGGATCAAATGGTATTTCTATTTTTAGGTTTTTGATGAATCTCCATATTGATTTCCATGGCAGCTGTGCTAGTGTACATGCTCACCTACATTGCAGGAGTCCCCCCGCCACCCGACCACCACCCTCCACCCTTCACATCCTTGCCAACATTCATTGCTTTTTGTATTTTTGATGAGAACCATTCTGGCTGGGGTGAAATGGAATCTCAGTGTAGTTTGTGATTTGCATTCCTCACGGCTAACAATGTGGAACATGTTATCATGTATGGTACTTATTGGCCATAATATTATTTGCTGTGGCATTGAAGTCCTGTTCATAAAGTCTTTGCCTGTGCCTTTAGCTTAAGTGTTTCCCCTGTGTTATCTTCCAGCAGTTTCAAAGTTTCTGGTTTCATATTTAAATTTTTCATCCATTTTCACTTGATTTTAGAACGCGGTTAGTGACAAGGATCGAGTTTCAATTTTCTGCATAAGGATATCCAGTTTTCCCAGCACCATTTGTTAAAAAGGCTATCTTTTTTCCAATATGTTTTGTGAAAAAATCAGAGGTGCATGGGTTTATTTCTGTGTCTTCTGTTATATATTCCACTGGTCTCCATGTCTATTTTTCTGCCAATACTATGTTGTTTTTTTTTACCATGGCTTTATGGGAGAGCTTGAAATCTGGTGTCCTGGTGCCTCCAGCACCTGGTGTTTTTACTCAGGATAGCTCTGGTTATTCTAGGCTTTTTCTAATTCCATATACATTTTAGGATTATGCTTTCTAGCTCAGTGAAGAACGTTGCTGGTATTTTAATAGAAATCACATTGGCTTTTGTAATACAGCCATTTTATCAATATTAGTTCTTCTAGTTCATAAACAAGGGAAAGACTTCTATTTTCTAATGTCTTCTTCAATTTCCTCTTCAATGTTCTATAATTTTCATTATAGAGGTGTTAAGCAATTTTTAGCATATGTGCCGCTGAGGCGAGCATGTTAAGCAGTTTTTAATGTATTATTTAATTCTCGCTTTCATGTGTCAAATTATTTGATTCTTTAATACCTCTAAGGCTTATATACCAATATTACCTTTATTTTTTAAAATGAGAAAATCACAGCTTGAGGATATTAAATGACTCCTCAAGATCACCTCTTTAGAAGGATTCCAGGACTTTCTAATTCCAGAGTACTTGGTCTTGACCACCAAGCTGTAATATTCCTTTACAACCTACTTAACTAGTTTCTGCTTTTAAATCTTTAGACTATTTCCATTTTTCTTACCATAAATTTGTAAAGGTCTTTCTGTATTTGAAATGGTGTTCACAGAGAAGACTCCAAGAATAAAAATAACTGAGTCAAAATATATGATATTTACATATACTGCCAAATTGATTTCCAAAAAGCACTATAACTAGTTTATGCTCTCAAAAACACCTTTTGAAAGCATGTTTTATTAGATGCTCTCATTATTTTGTCTTATTTTGTAGTCATAGCTAATCCATTGGGTTATAAAATTGTATTTCCTTTTGTCTATCTTTGATCATTGGGGATCCTGAATTTTGTGTAAAAATGTTATTTCCATTTGCATTACACATGTGTCTGTTAATATCTTTTGTTCATTTATTGGAATCTTAATTTTTTGTATAAGATATACAGTCTTTACCCTCTAAAACTTCACTGTACCTCACACTTCTGCTGAAAGCACAAAAACATTCCATTGATTTAAAGCTAATTTTAATTTTCCACTTTCTGATTCTGAGACACCTGACCTGATACTAAAAAGGCCCAAGTAGCACTATAAAAATGGTTCTCTGTCTTGGAGGCACATGCTGAAATCTTCTGCAAAGCTTTAAAAATTACTGGTGTCAGAGTCCTGCTCTCTAGGTCTTGACTAAACTTGCATATGACAATCTTTTTACGTCACTAAGGCTGATTCTGGTGTGAGGTGACTGACTTGGCCCAGCCTGTTGGGGACATTCCTGATTTTAGTACTGAAGTCTTTGTGTCCTGAGAACCTGTCTCAGGTAAGCCAGGACAGAAGGCCTTTCCCCTTGCCTCATGTGAAGACAGATAGAACCTGCCAGTACGAGCATTTAATCGGGACCTTCTCTTCCACCTCCAAAAATGGTCACTCACCAGAGATAATCCCAAACTATCTCCAGCTGAAGACTGTTAGCTCCAAAATCATTTCACACATTCTTGACAGGGATGTAATTCACACATTGCACTGTCAGGTGGCTCTGAGCCACCAGTGGTACATGCATGACTGTCCCATCAGGTTCAAGCTGGTGGGAACCTGTTAAACTTACTGTTAAGACAGTAAGTAGAGCCTGTATATCCAGGGCTTGTAGCCAAAGCTGGCTGTAGCAGCAGGATACAGTCTTTTTGCAAAGCTCTAAATGGGATGATGAACTCCTTTCAGCCCTTACAGCTGAAAAAAGCAGGAAACTATCAACTGAAACTATCATGGCTACAAAGTGTCCCTGAGCACACTGTCAGCATAGCCTCTGTGACCTCTGGGGCCATCCATTTCCTACCTCTAGGGCTTACATGCAAAACTTGTGTGTGTCCATTAGGCCTAGGCATCCCTCCTCAGCCTAATACAGACTGTTCCATGCAAAAGGGTGTTTGGGGGCTAAAAGCAAGGGATCCAAACAAATAGAGCCTGGGCCAGGAGCTTCCTGGAATACAAAAAGATACACGGGGGGGTTTTTAATTATGGCACATTGTTTGCAGATTAGCACCCAAATCGGATCAGACTAATTACAGTAATTGATTTGACTGCAGAAGTGCTTCTGTATGATGCCCCACTGTGATTTTTACTCACTGGACAATGGTTGAATTAATGGGACTCTAGCCAGATTGGATGCGCTGGCAGAAGAGAGCCAGCTGCCCTCTGGGCTTGAAGATGGGGAGGGGCTACAGCAGAGGGGAAGAGAAGTGTGATAGCCTGCTCAGACACCTGCCATCAACACTCTGATTTTGCTGCCAGGTCCTGTGGATATCAACATCGTGGCCAAGTGCAATGCTTGCCTCTCCGGTCCATGCAAGAACAATGGAACATGCATTCCAGATCCCGTGGAGCAGTACCGCTGCACCTGCCCCTATAGTTATAAGGTAAGGCGGCAGCCCTGTGCCCTGTTCAGGTCCTAGGCTCCAACTGAGTCCTGGCTCCATGGAGGGGCATGGCCCTCGTGCCCACCCAGGTGACTATCCAGGGCAAGCTGAATAGCTCTGTTTACTTCCCACCCCTGAAAGTGCTACCTGCAGTATGAACAGGATACGGGGTGGGGAATTCAAAAGCCTGAGGGTTGCCTAGGCCACCCACGTGTTGACTGACTCAGCTTAGCCAGCAGAAGAACTGAGACCCCAGTTCATCTATCTGTCCTCCCCAGAAGAATTCCAAGACATTCCTCCCCTCCTAACACTATCCAGAATCCTGCCTCCCTGCCAACATCTGCAGAGAACGGGTGTGTACTTGGCCTTCTGCTCACCTTTTTCTTGTAAACTCCCGGGGAACCTATAAAGATGGCCTCATTAACTTCTAGTTTACCTATGAGTAAACTAGGCTTCAGACTGTCAACAGGATTTGACTCAGTGTGAGCAATAGGTTTGGGATTAGGACCCAGGGCAGTATGATTCACAAGCTGAAGTCTTCTCCCTGAAGGGTTTCCTAGATAGCTGAACCCCTCGCTGTGCCTCACTGGGTTAAGCAGGGGCGTAGCTCGGTCCTCTTCTGCAGGACTGTCCCAGGTTCTAGCCTTCCAAGGCACACATCCGAGTGTACTGAGCAAGCCAAGAGTTTCGAGAGAGCCAGCAGCCCTTCCGGTGCACACAGCTGGTACAGGCTGAGTGACAGGGGTTGGCATTGCCATATCTCCATCCCCAGAGGGAGTGTGCATGTGCAGTGACAAGCTTGAGAGGCAAATTCCATCTTGGGAACAGGAGTTGGTGGCCAAGCTTCCAGAGGATGGTGTCAGACTGCCACCTATCGGCCTGAGACGAGAGATTCCCGAGGGTAGCCTCAAACTCATTAGAATCCCAGATCTCTGCGTCCTGCATACTACACAGTTATTGGTGGGGAAGAAGAGAAATTGAAAGCAGACCTGATCAGGAAGCATAGTCCTCTGAAACGGCCTTGTGTGGGCCCACAGAGAAAAGTCAGGCTGTGGAATTGCCAACAAGTAGGTGTGGATTCCGGCCTTGTCACTTACTGGCTGTGTGGCAGTGGCCGATAGCTTCTCCTCAGCCTTCCCACCTGCTCACGAAGACCTGTCTCACAGGTTTGGTGTGAGAATCACGTGCACAGGAATGAATGCAGTACACCTAGGACAGGACCTAGGCATAGCCTGATCGTTAGTTTCAGAGCAAAGAATGTCTCCACGAGAGACATCTTCCGGGTGATGCCACTTGTCTTCACTTTGTTCACAAGATCATGAACGTCCTTCAGATTTCAGAAAAACCTGAACAGAGATTTTTAACCTTAAAAAACCTCTGGGCTCAAGCAGGTCTTGGATACATAATGGTGATGGTACTATCATTCCGGAGTGTTGACTCTGTCTGACAGTATATGAAACAAGGTAGAAGTGTTTGCTGTCTTACGTGATCGTCATCAAATCCCTAGGACAGTGGCAAACATCAGTGTTACAGACAACCTGCTGCAACACTCACATCATAGGAGCACCACCACTGCCCTAGGATATAGTTCCTAAAATGACCTCTTAATCGAAAAACAGCATAGTACATGAGTTGGATTCAAAGCTCAGAGCCAAATGACCCCAGAACGCAGGGTCTTAGCCACTTTCCTCACTACCATAGTCACGTACAATGATTGCAGGGACTGAGGGGAGCCTGCTGGCCACTTAGAACCTCTCTGAATTTCCAGTGCAGAGAAGCAGACTCTAGTGGTGTGAGGAATACCACACAGGCCCCTGCAGAGCCTGTTTCCGCCTAGCTACCTGACCTTCGATACCTCCGGCTCTTCTCCCCTCAGTTTTCTCAGTGGTAAAATGGAGCAGCTCAAACCAAAAGGATCATTCAAATACAAATTTCACCCTGTGCTGAGTTCATCACCTCCCTTCTCACTGGGCTCACTGATCTACCCAAGCACAAGCACCCAGATAGGAGTTCTGGAGCCGGGCATGGTGGCGCACTCCTGTAATCTCAGCACTCGAGAGGCTGAGGCAGGTGAATTGTTGCAAGTTGGAGACCAGCCTGGCTACAACGTGAGCTCAAGGCCAACCTGAACCACATAGAGAGACTCTGCCTCAAAAAGACAAAAAAAAAAAAAAAAAAAAAATGAACAGGTAGTAGTTCTGGATAAGGTGCTAAAGTGACAACAATCCCTAGTCACGCACAAACCAAGCCAAAAACTGAGGCACTTGCCTAGCTGTTTTTTGTGGATACCTCATTCATTTGATTAGCTGTGAGACTTTGTGGCAAGCCACAATATTATGAAACAGCACACCAATTCAAGTCCATTACCTCCTACTCCTACTCATCCTATTAAATAAGTTTTATAATCTTCTTTTGATAGATGAAGAAACCAAGTCCATAAAGTTCAAAGAACTTAGGCAAAATCCCACATGTAGGAAACACATGCGCTAAAACCAGAACCAGTTTTCTCTTACAAGAAAATCTGTACCTTTAATCACATCATTAGTCACTGATTCTGTCTCAGCCTTTATCCTGCCTGTAATGGGAACAGTTATGCTCATCTGCAGAGCTGTAACAAGAATGAAAGGGGCACCCATGGACTTGGCCTACCTCCCTCAGTGCCAGGATGCTGTAGACATTTTACAAAGAATAACTATCTTCCTGCCATCCTAAGATTTGGGGTAATAAATTCTATGGCAGGTTCTTTTCAGCCATTTATTTTTATGCACGTATGTTTGGTATCTCAGAGCAGTGCTTCTCAAACGGTACTGTACAAGATCTCATTGCAATGCAGGGTCTGATTCATGAGACCTAAGGCCAGGCCTGAGATTGTGCATTTTTAACGGGATGCCAATGCTACTCTTCCATGGACCATACTTTGAGTAGCAAGGTCTTAGATCAACCTTCCCAGCCCCTCTCGGACAGACCTTGCCAATCCCTTTTAAAAGGAAATCAGAAGCCCCAGCCACCAACCATGTCCATCTTCCCTCCAACCACCACCACATACAAACACACACATGCACACACAGCAGGGTGGGGAATAGAAATTGAAGGACTGAAGAGCATCATAAACATGGTGGATTCAAGCAAAATGCATCTGAAGAGAAAGAAATTGGGCTAATTTGCTAGGCATTGGCAATGGTGATTATTTTAAGGACTCAGGACAGAAATTTCATCCTCCCTCCCCAGTTACCAAGTCATCATGCACTAGAGTCTACCTCCTGCATATCTGTGTTCTTGCATAAAGAGCTAATGGAGACACAAACCACCTCTACTTCCACCCTCAGGAGTATTCAACCCAGAGTCACTGGGTACTTACAAGTACCTAGAGTAGAAAGGCTGGCCCAGAAGGAACTAAGGACATCCTAGAACTACAACTTACAGCACCAAAGACTTAAAAAAAAAAAAAAAAGGTGTGGTGATGCATTCCTATAATCCCTGGATGCTTAGGCAGGGAGAGTGTCATGACTTTGAGGCCAGCCCCAGTTACACAGTGAGTTCCGGGCCAGCTGCTCTACAAAGTGAAACCTTGTGTCAAATAAACAAAGACCTGAAAAAATATTTTAATAACCCATATGCAGCCCTGCTTCAGACCTCAGTCATTGTCATCATTGCCATCATTTACAGAGTTGCCAGCGCATACTAGGTATCTGGGGGTGGTGTTTTTTCATCAGTAAACCCATGGGGTACGTAGGAGTTGAGTACATCTTATCTGAAATGTATGGAACCAGAAGTGTTTCAGATTTCAGATTTTGGAATATTTGCATATGTGTAATGAGATACCTTGGGCATAGAACCGAATTCTAAACAAAAAACTCATTTATGTTTCATGTAGACCTTTTACACTTACCCTGTAATTATGTACACTATTTTTGCCATATCTGCATTTTGACTACAAGCCATCATATGAAGGCAGGTGTGAAGTCGGTGCTTAAAATATTTCACATTTTGGACCATTTCAGATTTTGGATTTTTACATTAGAGATACTCAACTATAGTATTATTCCCATTTCATAGGGGATAAAAACAAGGCTTAGGGAGAACTAGTTAGTTCTTCAAGGCACACAACTGCCAACCTAAACTTTGCACTCTGAATGGCCAAACTGCATAACCTAGATTTTAAGATCAGAGTAAGTGGTCAGCAAGGAGGGCTCAGCATTGACTTTGGGCCCAGATATCTGGGTTAGGCTACATCCAGCCTGTACTGCAGTACAGTCTTGAACCAATTACCTCCCTTTTCAAGTCTGCCTTCCCTATCTGTGCAAATGAGTGTAATAACAATTGCAGCGATCTCATAGGGTTCTTGTGAACGTTATATGCAATCATGAATATAAAATACTTAGGATGAGGCCAGGGAAGAAAATGTGTTCAACAATGTGAGGATTTGTACTATGGTTTCACACACTGACTTTTGGAACCAGGTGGTTACTCTGGTGTAGGATACACCCAGCTACCACCCAAACTGCTCTCTCCCTCCCCAAACTGAGAAACTTCTGACTGGCCCTTTGTGATGAAATGTGTACTTGCATTACAAAGCAGACAGGAATAGCCTGTGGCTCCTGCCTGTGGGAGAAGGGACCTGAGGCTGCAGTGTTTAAAAAGGTAGGAGGATGCCTTTGAGAGTGTCCACAGCAGAGGTTGTCCTGGGCCAAGACTGCAGGCTTAGTTGGCAGCTACCACGCAGCCAGGAAGCTCCAGTCCCATGCCATCACGGGCACTGGCAACAGCAGAAGAGGGAAGCAGACTTTCTCAGGCAGATGGCGAGCAGGTGGTGGTGGCAGTGGGAGAGCTCCCATGATCACCCCCACCTGGCAAGTACCCAAATCCTAAAACTGTGGCCCAGAAACACACACAGTAGATACCTCCCCGGGCCCATGCTACCAACTCTTGCAAAGGGCTACTTGCCAGTACTTGGGTGCAACCCTGGTCCTTCAGTCCCAAAGCAAAAGCAGGTGCCAAAGCATCAAGAAGAGTGGGCTGCTCCCTGGGACACCAAGTCTACTATCCTCTCTCCTTGGAGCCTCCGTCCTTGCTATTCTTTCTGCTTGACATGATCCTCCCCACCTGCCACACAGTTGGCTTCTCGTCAGCTCCAACATTCCCTTCCGAGGAGCCTGGTCCAAGGAAACCTACTGCAGCCCAGCCTAACCTTGGACTCACCTGCAGAATTCTGGAATAAATACCAACACCTGGACCTCACTCCAGCCCAACAGAGGATGACTCTCTGGAAGGTTGTCATATTCTAGAAGCCAAGATCTTTTGGCTCAATCCACCTTCAGCCTCAGTCTATCGTACTCAAATTGTAGACTAGTAAAACCTCAGTGAGACTAACAGTAATGCCTGCACTAGCATTTATAGGATGCCTACTATGTGCTAAGTGGGTTATACAACTGCCACACTGTTGTCTTGGTTACTTTTCTCTCATTACTGGGGCAAAATACCCAACACCCAAAATAAAGGAAGGAAAGGTTGATCTAGCTTACAGTTTTTGGAGGTTTCAGTCCATACTCAGATGGCTCCAAGGCAAGATGGTGTGGCTAAGGGGCAGCCATCATGGCAGCTGCAAGTGACAAGAGTGAAAAGGGAAAAAGGGTACAGCACACCTCTTTCCCTCCCTTATATTGTATGCTGGCTTCCCACCCCTGGGCAGGTGCAGCACTAACACCCCAGTCCCAGCAACTGGACAATGAGCCAATCACAAGCACTAGATTCGGCGGCCTTTGAAAGGCTGCCCTTGCCATGACTGCATGAGGCTCTGGAAGGACGTCTAAACACAAACCATAACAACTGCCTTCTGTGAAAGCTGTAGTTCCATTCTCATAACAGCACTATCAGAGGATAGAGGCTTTTTTTTTTTCTTTTGGCAAGGTCAAGGTCAGCCAGGCAGAAAGAGGTGGTGCTGGAATGTGAAACCAAGTTCACCTGCATCCAAACCCCAGTGTTTTTGCCCGGGAGCGCTGTACAGAAAACTCAGGGAAGCAGGGCAGCTTCAGCCTGTGTTCTGGGGCTCTTGGCATCCTTCCCTTCCCACTATGACATGAGGGTTCCCTCTAGCTGGCTCCCACTACACACCCTTGACCCAGAAGCTTCTTGCCACCATCTCAACTTCATCCCAGAAGATGCTGGATCATGGCAGCCATTGAAGTCCTCCTCACCAGGTGCTTCTCTCCCTTCTGCTCCTCAGGGCAAGGACTGCACCGTGCCCATCAACACCTGCATCCAGAACCCCTGTCAGCACGGAGGCACCTGCCACCTAAGTGAGAGCCACAAGGATGGGTTCAGGTAACAGCTTCCCCTAGACTCCTCATAGGCAGACTCCGCATATAAATAATGTCAAGGTCTTCTGTATCCCATTAAGAGAGTGCTATTATTCCTGCTATATAGATAAGCAAACTGAAACATCAAAGGGATAAACCCTTTGCCTGAAGTTACAGAGTGAATAGCGGCACAGGGATTTGAATCTAATACTAGCCTTTTGTCTCTGAGCCAGGAAGTCTGCAAAGAAGGCTACAGCTACTAGTTGAAATCAGAAAAGTATAGAATGCTGGCTGAAAGATCTGTCAGAAAAGTATAGAATGCTGGCTGAAAAATCTGAAAAACTACTCTTTTCTGGTTTATACATAATAATAATAATAATAGGTGATATTAATGACAGTGCTCGCATGTGCCAGGCACTGACTAGTCATGCATCTTATGATCTTCTCATGACCATTTCCAGGAGGAAGAACCTGTCCTCATAGAATATATTGGAAACCAAGGCACAGAAATTGATTTGCTGTAGGTCACATATCTTTTATTTAAAGAAAGAAAGAAAAAAAATAGAAAAGAAGGGTAGAATAATTGATTCAATATCTTAATACTGATTCCTGGATCTTGCAACCCCACCTCCAGTCCTCTCCTCTTTGACATTAAGGTTTCAGGAAATAAAAAAGGATAGAAACCATTTAAATTAAGCAGTCCTAGAGGTGGCATTAAACATTTGCCAAATCTAAAGCCCTCTCTTCCAGCTTCCTGCCTTCCCCAGCAGCTTTCAGATGCCCAGTTAGTTCCCCAGCCTATTAGCCTGGCAGATGCAGACCATTGGGAAGTGGCTCCTTTGGCACAGCGGGCTGGGCAGCCGCCCCTCTGCAGTAAAGACAAGGCCACTATGCCAAGCTCTGGGCCGATGCCCTAGAGCTCAGGTTGCAAACAATTCATTATCAAAAAGTTCTATAGCCAGAAGCTGCTGTGTGGTCTGTTGAAGAAATCAAGTTCTGGGCTCCCAGTTCTACCTCCTGGAGAACCCAACCCACCCACTGTGCTCCTGCCAAGCCAGTCCCATCAAACCCTGACTCATGAAAAGTGAAATTCAAGGCCAACTTCCTGTTCCTGCCCCGAGTCAGCCAAACCACTCGCTTCCTCTGCTCACTGAAAGCAAGAGTGAGGAGAAAGGACAGGGGCATTGGGCTGAGAGCCGTGCTGTGCCCCGCTGTAGGGAGGAACTTCCTCTGCAGACTATCATGTGTCACCCAGTATCTTGTTTCCATCCTAGGTCTTCGAGGAGTTTCAAATGAACAGGAAATATTTCCAAACATTAATTTGAAAGGCAAAAGGCCCAGATCTACAGGATTCAGGAAATGGGTTAGAAGGTTAGGGCAACAAGGCAAAGGCTGTGGACACTACACTTTGTGTGTGCTTCTCAGAGGAGGAAGGATCTTCTGCAGGATGCCAGCTCCAGGCAGGCTGGCAGCGGTACTGATCAGAAAGAGCTTTGTGCCTTCTTCCCTCCTAACTCATTTCTTAGGCCTGCCATAGCAAAGGACAACAGGGCAGCAATGTATTTTCTCATGGTTCTGAAGATAGAAGTCCAAACTCGGGCATCTGGAGTTTATTCTGCTGTCTTCCTTTGTCTCAAAGGGAATTACTCTGCCTCAGAGGAACCACGGGAAGGGAAGTTTAGAAGACAGCTATGGGAATTTAAGCCAAATCCAGGAAACCTCTTCCAGCTGGGGAATGGGAGTGAGGCACTGCTGGTAGGAATTTTCACCATGGGCAAGGTGGCCAGCCAGGACCAGGGGAGACAGAACACTGCCTGGAGACAGGAGATGGGCTGAAATGACCTTGAAGTTCCTCTGAGTCTTCTGGCTCGGGCCCCACTGCATTGTGTGTCCAGAATGCTATCTTTGGCCTCCACACACAATAGACACCTGACTAATATTTCCACCCTCTATCTTCCTCTCTGCCCACCACTTACCTGGCCTCCGGCTCCCCTGCAACCCTTTGCATCTAAAGCTGCTCCTGCCCCCTGGGCTTTGAGGGGCAGCGATGCGAAATCAACCCAGATGACTGCGAGGACAATGACTGCGAGAACAATGCCACCTGTGTAGACGGGATCAACAACTATGTGTGTGTGTGCCCGCCCAACTACACAGGTGAGGCTCTGGGGAGCTCCGGCCTGTGCCTGTGGGACGGGGTGGGAGAAATCACGGGAAGAATCCCATTTCCTTTATGGTATCTCTAAAGGAAGAGGGACCCCTCCGCCTTTCTCTCTGTGGACAAAGCTAAGATCCCAAGATTATGATAGGGCATAAGGGATGCCCCCAAAACCCTATATTAACTCATCCATCTCCTGCACCCCTAATCCCACCCCCAGCAGGTCCCCAACTCCTTCCCACTTTGAAACAGGTTTCCAAGGCCCTTCCAGCTGTTTGTTCGTTCAGTGTCTGAGGTTGGCGGGGAGACACGTACATTGTGTGTGGTCTAGGCAACCATCTCGGGAAGTCCACATTTTCCAGCCATTCTGCTAGGAGCTTAGGACATAAAACCAAGCAAGACAAAGTTCTTGCTCAAGTAGAGAGAAACACATGGATTCAGTAGAATGAGAACACATCCTGTGTAAACCCCGGGATTGTGGGAGCACAAAGCAGAACATGTCCCAGCTGGAGAATAGGGGAAGTCTTCTCACAGAAGTTATTATTTCTCAAGAATATCATTCTGCCCACCCACCCCAAAACAAACCACCTTTATTTCCTACAGTAGCCTCCCCTAATGAAAAGAATAAAATACAACATTACATTGTGAAGCAAAATTCCACCAGTTGGTGCAAACACAGCTTACTTTGTTATGAGATCAGCCTAAAGTGGCTTGTACCAGACCAGAATTCTACAAATTCTATGAATTCTTTGAGGATGAATCTATTTTAAAAACGTCTTGGAATTACTGTGTATAATAATAGCCCTCTTCTTGGAGCTTGTGATGTAAATTAGTATGGTAGAGGGTTCTGGAAATTCCTGCTTTAAAGAAACTGTTTAAGGTTGTTTAACCCAGTAATTTCCAAAGTTACATGATCTCAGATAATCCCTCTAATCCCACTGTATACAACCATTACCACCTAGAGGCCCTGTCTTATAAAAAGCATGTTTTGGAAATACTGGCCTCAAGCAAGGGGGAAATGAGAATGGTATAACTCAGGGCCTGCCAAGTCCCTGCCTAGAATCTCGTTTTATGTCAAGAATGAAATGGGAAATGGGACAATTCTGGTGAAGAATATGAATAGAAGCAGTCCTCAGGACTGCAGTACAGGAAGCTGAAAAGGAAGCCAAGTTGCTGCCTTCGCCCCTCAGATCCTTTGTTCTGAAGTCTGCACCCCAAAAGCCGTGTACTCCCAAGCACACCCTTGGAACTGTTGGCATGTCCAAGGCCCGCTAGGAAAGACGACCCAGCCTATTAGTCCTGAGCTTCCTGGCTCAACAAGGCTTTGTGCTGGGAGAATGTACAGACAAATCTCCCTTTTGTCCAAAAGCTTCCATCTTCTGAAGGAAGAATTGTAACCACAAGTTACATTAGCAACAGGCAATGCTTAAACTGTGTGCCTACTATATATGTAGCGACTAGAAACACCAAAAAATCGAAAGCATGGTCTCAGCCCACAAGGTGCTTCTGGTCTAAGGTAAGAGGAAGCCCTGGATAAGGTTAAGTCGCTATTCCACAAACAGAGGGGCTCAAGATGGGCTGTGTGTGCCAGAGAAGGGGCCTGAACTGACTTTCCAGCAGGCAGCTAGCTGAGCAGTGGAAAGGAAGCGGAGGAGAAACGTGCCCTGTCTCGGTGGAACCCACCTGCTAGCTGCAGGTGACCAAGCTGCTCTTGGGGTTGCAGCCTATTGCACTTTGTGCCCGAGAGTGGGGCACTGTGGTTTCCCTGACCCCCCAAAAAAATACCCTACAGTGATACTTATTTGTTTCTTTGGGTCTTCCAGGTGACAAAGAAGAGAGGGAAGCCCTATACAGTGACCCCTGTGGTCCTGAGTGGATAATATGCAGGGGAGTGATTGAAGGACCCTTCTCAGGACAAGACAGGAGCCAGCTTGTCCCCACCCACCACAGCAGGGAGCAGGCTGTCATTCACCCACTGCCCAGCCACCCCCAGGATCTCCTGCCCTGTCCCCTGGGATCAGCAGCCCAGGCCGCCTCCTCTCCACCCTGTTCTGACTTCTAGTCCTGGGAGAGAACTTCCATGGTTAGACGTTTCCCTCTCAGAAATCTCTCTACCTGATTCAGCTGGGTAGAATTTGAGGCAACCCAAAAGTCAGACCTTAAAATCCTGCAAAATCCTGCATTGCTGGGGAGGTGCTCTTGTGTCTTCCACGCCCCACCCGCTGTATTCCTAAAATAGATATTCAGTGACATGAGCATATGGGGACTTACAAGCAGGGTTCATTCTGGGTATTTATGACCTATAGGCATTTTGCAGCACTGGCAACTTCAAAGGCAGCGTATCCGGAGACAAAACTTCAAATCCCTTTCATATTTCCTTCTGAAAAACCCAAAGGGCTTCCTTATCTGTTGCAGGTGAGCGAGGCTGCTCAGCCTGGTCTGCTTTTCCGAGCAGCCCCATCTGACCTCCTAGGCAAGGTTATGAGTCTCCTTCCACAGAGTTTACCTCCAGGATGGCACTCACAACTCAGGGCTGTAACTGCCTCCTGTACATCTCCCCCATCAGGCCATGTGGGAGGACAGGATTGGGTCACATGTACATGAGAGATGCTCGGTAAACTGATGGGGAATAAAAAATGAATTAGCTTTCAGGTCAGGGTCTGGGTTATGGTATCAGCTCCTGCTTGAGCAGATAAAACAGCCAAATGATGTTGCCATGACAGCGGCTAGGAGAGGCCCTGGGATCCTCCCATTGCTACTGCTAGGGAAAACAAGGCGGAGGTACAGGAGAAGGATACCCCAAAAGAAGTACGCAGGGCTTCTGATGACCTCACGACCAGGGTGAGATAAGTCTGACCTTCTTTCCTGGGGACCCTCAATGCCGAGTTATTTGTCTTCTCCTGCCAGGCGAGCTGTGTGATGAGGTGATTGATCACTGTGTGCCCGAGATGAACCTCTGTCAACATGAGGCCAAGTGCGTCTCCCTGGACAAAGGGTTCAGGTAAGGAAGGCATGGCTTCATTGCCCCAGCAAGGGGCCATGTGCACTCTGCCTCCAGCAGTCTGGATTTGAGCCTTTGTGATGACTGCTTTGCTCTATGTCTCTCCTTTCTAAAGCTTAGTGTAGGAGGTACACTAAGGAATGTACCTCCTACAGGTACACTCAGTCCCCTTCCCAGTGTGTAGCCCTCACCGTGCTCTGCTTCCCTTGTCCACAGCAAGTTTTCGAGCTTATGCATCCCTGAGGGGAGGGGGCAGGAGCTCTGACTTGGTTCAGCAGCCACAGCCATTGGTGAAGCGTCTCTATAGTGAGCAGGAGAGTCAAAAAGCATCTAGCGAGCACAAAAGCAATTCTAAGGTGGGTGGAGAAGCTGCCTCTGGAGAGGCCATCCAGTTCCTGAGCCTGAGAATCTAATGGGTCTCCTGGGAAGTCCTTCCTGGGCTCTCTGCCACCTTCACCCTCCATGCCCTGTCACAAAGACTTATGGCATTGTCTCTTCTGGGGGAAGATCCTAAAACTCTCAAGACCTGGAATTTTCTGACAGAGAAAGATCCCAGGACCTGTGGCTAGGGTCTGTTCCCAAACCTATCCTCCCCAGAAGGCTCTGTGGGACACAGGTGAAAACCTATAGCACCAAGGAACCAGGGTATGGGGGGCAGGCAGAGACTGGAGCAGCTGGAGCCCCCAGCATGAGCTCTTAGCAAACACAGAAGCAACCCTAGTGAGCCTCCCCTAAGGATGAGGGTACTGTGTCTTGAGCTCAGTACAAGACTGCCGAGTCTCTAAGAATAGTGGTCAGACTTTGGTCCAGTGGCAACTCCAACCTCTGGGGAAAGGAGCTCCACCACAAGTCTAGGTGGGTCTTCTCACCTTGAGCCTGTCCACATCTCAGTTACTAGGCAGCAAGTTCTCAGGTGTTGGGTGTTTGAGACTGTTTCTTATATTGCCAAGATTAGGGCTTCATACAGACCCAGGATCTTCAAAAGCCAAAGGTTAAAGACATCATGGAATCACAGAATCTTAGAGATTCAGAACTGTGAATTCTTAGGAGCTTCTTAGAATCATAAAGTCTAAGAATCATAGATTCTAGTTATTGTCCCCAGCCTAGCCATCAGCCCCACAGATCGACATCTATGCAGAGCACTGACTGTGGAGACTGCACAGAGGTTTGGTTGAGCAAACATGTACATAAAAAAGGAATTTCTTGACCCTGTACTTCTGGCTCTGGGAAGCCTCAGAGTTCTGAGAAAGAAAAACCTGCTACATATAACACAGGAAGAAGCCCTGCCCTCTTGTAGATGGGATGTGAGCCAGATAGAATCTGGATGGGCTGAGATAGAGTCTGTAGGAAGGAAGGGTGAGAAGGGGAGAGGGGCATGTCTTTCCAGGTGTGTCCTTTTCTATTTTGACATCCTAAGCCTAGAGCTCATCACTGGTGAAAATGGAAGAAGTGTAACAGGGCCTCTGTTCTGCTGAGACCAAAGGACGTATGGGTCCTACCATGCACCCACCCCGTTCCTGTGCATCCTACCTGCCCCATCCCTCTCTGCAATCTGCCAGGTGGGACTGTCATAAGCTGTCACCTGACTGTGAAGGGCGCCTCCTACACCCCGCAGGATTTGGCTTCACTTGAAGTCCTGTGCTGGGAGGTGGGGAAGAGCAGAATGAAGAGCAAAGGGTGAGGTGGGGGAGAACATTTGAAACAAACTTGAAAAATAAACCCAAAGCAGAGCTGGCTTGTGCTCACAGCTAGACTGGCAGGCTAGTGCTTTGGGCATGTCTAGAAAAGAGCAATGAATGGGGACTGAGCGGTAGAGAGTGAGTGCTGATGGAGAGACAAATGGCATTCTAGGCTGAGTGGACAGAAAGCAAGCTCAGAGGATGCTTTCTTGAGAAAGCATAGAGACTAGGTACAGTTCTGGAGTAGGAATGCCAGGGATTGTAGCCGCCAGATTACTATGATCTTCTAATACTTGATCCTAGAAATCTCATTCTCTGTTGTAACCAAGACCCCCCTTGAGCTCTAGAACAATATAGGAAAAAAAGAAGTCAGTCAAATTTTTGTAATCTTAGATATTTTATTTCTATGTAATGTCTCTTCAAAGATACTATCTTGAGAAGACCTATTAAACAGCTCAATACTGTTAGTTTTTTATTCAAATGCATTTAAATCAGTACTTCTCCCAGGACAGTGTTCCATCTCTGTCCCCTCCCATCATCAAACAACTGCTATCCCAGTCACCGTGACCTTTGTTTTTGTTATTTTCCTAGAGGAATTAATAAAGGAAACACGGTCAGCATGACCTTTGGCTAGTATGAAGATATTTGTCCTTGGAGATCTCCTGTATATTCTAACAAGGTCTCTATCAAGAATAGATTGTATCTGCCTGTAGACACTGAAAATAACAACAAAGCAGTGATCCCAGGGACTAGCCTGTGCTGAGCACTTGTCCTGTGCCAAGTTTGCTGGCTAAATGCATGTAAGAGATGGGTCAGATCTTAGCAGGCTTTTGCCATTTTTGAGCACAGGCTTAGTCAATCCTTAGATTCTGGAGCTGTTTGCATCCGAGACAAGACAGCCTTCCATGTGTCTCCTTGCCGTGAAATCTGCAGTGTGCACCATGTTCTTCTGACCCCTGCAATGCTGGCTCCATCCACTACTCAAGGGAAGAGTGAGGTGAGGGGAAGAAGACCAGCTCCTTGTGGGAAAACTTAAGTATTCAGTGCTGCTGCTTGACCCTCCACAACTCCCTGTATCAACTCCCTATACCGGCCCTACCTCTTATATACACTGTGATTTGTATTTTTACTCTGTCCAGTAGAATTCAGCTGTTTGTCTCCTGCAAAGCTTTTGCACTTCTCTGAGTCTGAGAAGCTGGTATGCACTGTGTGTATCTGCAGGGGCACCAAAGCCCCAGACCTGGGTGCCCTTGGGTCTGGTTCCATGCTGACGTTTCAGTTTAGTGTTAGCCTAGATTTAAAAAAAAAAAAAAAAAAAAAACCCAGAGATGCATATTCAGGGAGCCCCGGTGCCTACCGACCAGACTGGCTTTTTTCCCCTCAAATGTTTCTGACCTGAGCTGGCAGAGATGGCAGTGGAGTTCCTGATACATTGCTCTCTAGAGAACAGTTGTGCAGGCGCTGTGCAGGAGCTGGGGACTGTGCAGAGCTGGGGTAGGCCACAGCTCCCATCTCCTCTCCTAGGAGATACATACAAGCCATTTTATTAAAGGATAAGAGATTTTTCTCTTCTTTTCTTAGTTCAAGTCTCTAGGAAGGGTGAACAAACCATGAAACAAAACCCAGGGAAGTAAAAACAGCGTCATTTCCATTTCCTCCTCATTCCCATCATCTCCTTATCAAATTGACTGTTTACTCAATGTTCAGTGCACTCCACAGAGTCTATCATTTAATTTTTAAAGCAACCATAAGAGACAGAGTTATTTATTGTCAACTGCATTTAGAGATAGGGAAAAATGAGAGACTCGGGAGGAATAAATAGTTGATATATGTAGAACAGCTCCTGGCACATAGTTAGTGTAAACTGTCACTAAATGGGGTCCACAAAGAAGTGATTTCAATACTGTCTGAACTCTAGTTTCTTCCTGAAACTATATCCTCCCTTTCAGGGATCTGGGAGAATTCAATGAGACATTTCTGGAAGGATGGCACAATAAAGGATATATCTGAATATCAGTTCTATGTTGAAGGTGGCAGGTCCAAGCCAAAAACTGGGTGGTTCCATCCTGAGCTCCTCAGTCTGGCTCCTAAAAACAAGACTTGGACCCTTACATGAAGCAGAGAAACCTTGACCTCAGGGAACAAAGACTGGAGACCTACTAGTGAGGCCAAATAATAGAACCAGACCTCATGGGTCCACAAGGAACTTGAGTCCATAGAGAGGGGGGCTAATGGAGAAGGAAAGCTGGCCCAGCCCCGAGGAATAACTCCACTCTGCCTGTGTTCCAGGTGTGAGTGTGTCCCTGGCTACAGTGGGAAGCTCTGCGAGATCAACAATGATGACTGCATGGCTCACAAGTGCCGCCATGGGGCCCAATGTGTGGACGCGGTCAACGGCTACACGTGCATCTGCCCCCAAGGTTTCAGGTATGGCAGAGGGCACTTTGGGAAGGTGACAGTCTGGACCACCATGGCAGGGGAAGGAGTCTGAGGCCCGGTCATCCCTAAAGCTACTCAGGGTAAATCCATGTACATGTTACGCTTGAGCCTGATTCCATCTAATGAAAGGTGGCACCACCTTGGGGCTCAGCTTATAGGGTGGGGTCTCACATGCCCGTGTTGGCCAGAATCTTTCTTCTAGCTACACAACAAGTATATGGTATCCCAGCAGCATAAACAGAGGTCCAGGGTGTGGGTATGACGTAGTGTAGAGTGTAGTGTAGGCTTAGCATGCCTAGGGCCCTGTGTTCAGTATCCAGAACCACAAAAGAAATATGAGGAAAGACGGCAAGAGACAGTGAGAGAGGAGGAGAAGAGGACAGGAGTGAAAAGAAAGAGAGTAGAGAAAGAGGAAGGGAGAAAGGAGAGGGAAAGAGAAGGGCAGGAAGAAAAGAGAGGGGAGAGAAAAGGCAGCGATTGAGAGGATTTGGGGTCCGTCTCTGGAATTAGTGACGCCACAGGGAAAGTGGCCGGAGAGGCACCGCCCAGGTGTTGGACATCTGCGCAGTGTGCAGAAGCAGCCCAGGTTCTGGTCTAGCTCTTAACACCACTTGGGAGGGACAGCAGGGACTTGGGGGAAGCAGAGGCCATACTTAGGGGGCTTAGACTGGAGTGCAGTTCCATGTATACCAGTATTCACTAGATGGCATAAATGCAGAATATGCAAATTGTGAGCGTATGAGCCGGGAAGGACCAGTGTTTCTCAAAGCTCAGCTGAGGTCATCTGCACCAGATGCGGATGAAAATAAAAATTCCTGAGCCCCATCCTAGAGTTACCAAATTAAAACTTGGGGATAGCAAAAAAAAAAAAAAAAATGGGGCTAAGAGTCTGTACTTTTTCAAAAATTATGATAAAATATACATAACAGAATTTATCAGCTTAACAGTTTTTAAAGATGTAGTTCTGTGGAATTATACACAACCATAACCACCAGAGCTTCTACATCTTGCAAAACAGAAACTTACCATTAAGCAATTCTGAGTGCGCTGGTAACCTCTGTTCTATTTTTTGTTTATATGAATTTGACTAACCAGGTGCCTCGTTTAAATAGGATCACAGTGTTGTCCTTGGTGGCTTATTTGACTTTGCATAATGTCCTCAAGGTCTATCCAAGTTATGGCATGTGTCAGAATTTCCTTCTAAGGATGAACAGTGTGTCCCATGGGCTGGCTATGCCACGTTTTGTTTATCTGTCCAGGGATGAGAATCTAGACTTTCAACAAATTCACAGAATTTCAGACAATTCTGATGACACTCAAATCTGGGGACCTGAACTCTCCTCTGATTAAATTATTTGAAAAAAAACATTGAAGAACCAGGACTTAGATGAAGGAAGGATCTGCCCCAGTTGGTGGAGGGCTGGACCCAGACTCGGGAACTAGGCTCCTTGTCTCACCGCACACCGCCTTTCTGTTGGAGGTTCTTTGTAAATGAGTGGCTGTCACCTCTTCACCCCCTTCCCATCCCCACCCATACTGCTCTACCTCCTTCCAGCGGGGTCTTCTGCGAGCACCCCCCGCCCATGGTCCTGCTACAGACCAGCCCCTGTGACCAGTACGAGTGCCAGAATGGGGCACAGTGCATCATAGTGCAGCAGGAGCCCACCTGCCGCTGCCCACCGGGCTTTGCTGGCCCCAGATGCGAGAAGCTCATCACTGTCAACTTCGTGGGCAAGGACTCCTATGTGGAACTGGCCTCTGCCAAGGTCCGGCCGCAGGCCAACATCTCCCTGCAGGTATGTCCCGTCTCACCCTGCCCCTGCAAAGGCCGTAACCTGCCAAGTTCTGATTGTATAGAAAACAGCTGGGTATCTCGGATGCAAGCAGTCCTGCCTTTTCCTCCCAAACATCATCAAGGTCTGTCCAGAGACAGCCAGAGATACGCCTGGATCAGCTTCCCTGCACGCAGCCCCACCTAGTCTCATTCACTGATTGCCCTAGAAAATACCTGCTCTACTCTTAAATGCCAGGCACAATGCTAAGAAGTGGGAATTCAGTGATAAACAAGACAGACAAAGCACTTTGATGATCCAATATGGCAAGGAAAATGACAGCGACAGCTGAGGTGCTGTGGGAACACATAGCAGTGGTATAACCCTCACTAACTGAAGAATCAGAAAAAGCTCTCAGAGGCAGAAATAAGTAAGTTGGAGCAGAAGGATGAGTAGTTTATCTGACAAGTAGACGGTAGGGACTGAGGGGACAGGGTAAAGAACAGAGCCTGGGAGAATCTAGCTGAGAAATCAGCATGTGCAAAGACCCAGAGGCACGGACAAGCAGAACATTTTGGGGGAATGGAAAACCAGTTAGTATAAGCCAATTTTTTTTTTTCTAAATAGCTCTTTCAGGTATCTTGCCTTGAACCTGAATCCATTCATTCCAAACTGTATTTTTGATCAACCTAAGTGTTGTTCTGAGGTGGAGGTAGGCAGAGAAGTTTTGTGATAAAGAACAGGTCACTGACTACAGAATGGTTCTGAGGAAGAGCCTCAGAGACATCACAGCAGGCTGCTGACCCATCAGTGGCCTCTGCCACCTGCGGGTGGGTGCTGCGGGATCTTTCATCCAGCCTCTTCCCTCCTTTTGGTCATGGCCACATTAGCCCTAGCTTAACCTGCAGTGTATGGGAAAAATGCTCATTCAGTAAACACCTCCCTGACGGGCACCTGTCTAGACCCTGGAAGTGGGAGATACAGGGAAAGTTCAAACTGCCTCCCACCGTGAACTGCAGCCAATGCACGCGCCCCTGAGAGAGGGATTGATGCCAGGCACAAGCAGAAAGGAGGGAATTTCCGGTTGCCGCCACCCTCTTTAGCCCCCCTCCTCAGGCACAAGACATTAGGTCCCCGCTGGCCAGGGCGGCACGCAGTGTCCCAGACGTCCAGGTGTCCTCTCACTCTTGCTGTTGTACATCCCATTGCTCAGGCTAGGCAGGGGCCAGGCAGTGGGAACCCGCAGACCTAGCAGAGACCCATCCCTGCTGCCCCTCTGGGAGCAGCTTCAGGAGCTGGTGGCTCTCAGCTTGACACACCTCAGCACCTCCCGCAGAGCTTTTAAAGTGTTTGCCTGAGCCCCACCCCTGAGAGACTCAAGTGGACTTGCTGAAGCCCAGACACCTGTGTCTTTAAAAGTCCCAGGGTGACTCTCAGCATGGTGCATGATTCATGGTACCCACAGAATGACATGGTGGTAGTTAGCCTTTTGCTTCTATTATTGTGCTATTTCATGCAGTGAGAACGAGGCCTCCAAAAGGGCAGGCACGCTGGTGGGGCCATTTCATAGGCCAGAGCGAAAAGACAGATTAGAGCTCAGGCCTCCAGACGAACATAAATAGTCACCCTCCATATCCACAGATGCAATATCCACAGATTCAGCCAACTTCAGAGGGAAAATATTTGGAAAAAAAAATTGGCAGTGTTACTGCCCCTAGATAGACTTTTTCCTTGTCATTATCCCCTAAATGACATAGTTTAACAACTATTTACATTTACATGGCATTTATATTGAGTATTATCAGTAATTTAGAGATTAAAGTATATGAGAGAATATGAATGTTATAAGCAATTTTATATGCAAATACTATGCCATTTTATATAAAGAATTTCAGCATCATCAAAATTTTGGTGTCCTCAAGGGGTCCTGAACCAACCTTCTGCAAATACCAAGGGAGAGCTCTATGCGTACACAGTGGTGCATAGCAGGTGGGTGATAACACAGTAGGCATTTGCTGAAGTATGGATCTTGCCTTCTGGGAATTTACAGACGGAGGAGAAAAGATGGACTTGAATTCAGATCTGGGCTGGGGACAGAAGCAGCCTCTTTAAGAAGGTGCTGTGACGTGGGTCCAGAAGGGCTAAGCTGTAACCCACATGCCCTGGCTACTCTCCCCAGGTGGCCACTGACAAGGACAATGGCATCCTTCTTTACAAGGGAGACAATGATCCCCTGGCACTGGAGCTGTACCAGGGCCATGTGCGGCTGGTCTACGACAGCTTGAGCTCCCCTCCAACCACGGTGTACAGGTAAGGGCCACACCCACTCAGCCACTGAGCTTGCCTCTGCAGAAAAGACACAGGGTGACTAATGTGTCCTCCCTCTTCCTACACACACACACACACACACACACACACACACACACACACGCTCACAGAATGGCAGGTAGGAGGGAAGAGGTCCGTGTTGGAGACAGAGGCAGGAGAGGAAGGCAGACCCATGCAGGAAGATGACACCTCATTACCATAAGATAAATGACCAACTGGCTACTGTGCATGCAGCCAGATGCTCCAATGGGACAAGGCTGCTTAATGAGATGCCCTTTTCAAAATGTCATCCTAATCTTTTATTAGTTTAAGAAAGAAAATAAGACAATTAACATGCAACTCAAGGGGGAGAATTCAAGAGCATTCAGGGGATAGATTACTGCTTAAGTGACTTTCAACCAGTTCTGAAGAAGAGTTTTTCCTAAACTTCAGTCTTTTCAGCAGTCACTTTGTACATTAGTCAGCATCTCAATACTGCTAACAAAATTCCTGAGATAATCAACTTATAAAGAAGAAAGGTTCATTTTGGCTCACGGTTTTGGAGGTTTCAGTCCATGGTTGTATGGTTGCTTAGACTTGTGCTAAGACAGCACATCATGGGGGGGAGCACATGACGGAGCAACCTGTTCATCTCATGGAAGCAGAAGGAGGCAGTGGAAGGGACTAAGGTTCCATTGTCCCTTTCAGCGATGCACGCAGTGACGAAGATCTCCCATGGGCCCCTCATTCTAAAGGTTCCCCCACCTCCCAATAATGAAATAGGCTGGGAACCAAGTCTTCAATCTGTGACTCTTTGGAGGATACCCAGGATTGAAACTACTGCTCCCTGATTTTCACATTTTCTGCCTAACAGTTATATAGTTACTTCATAAGCTACCCTATGTTAACTTTCAAACTGTTCATTTTTTAAATTCAACTTCGTGTTACTGACAAGTCACTTTCATAAAGTTCAGTAATGTTAAATATTTTCCTAATTCTCAGTAAGAGGTATATGAATTAAGCATCCCTAATCTGAAATCTGATATTTCCCAAAATCTAAAACTATGAGAACTAACATGACAATCGAAATTTTTCAGATTTTCGAGCATTTTAGGATAGGGATACTCAACTGGTAAAGTCTATACAAATATTCCAAAATCTGATATACTTCTGGTCGTAAGCATTTCAGATAAAGGATATTCACCTTGTACTAAACAACTATTAAAAAATTATTTATAAGCATATTCATAATAGTTTAAATAATTACTAGAAGTTTTAAGTGTCTATGTTACCCCTAAAATCATATAAAATCCCCCAGAAAGAGATCCAAACTCAGAGAAGCTGTAGTACCAAAGAGAGGCCATATTCTACCTTGGAAAGCAAGAACATAATTCACTGGGATTAGTGAAGAGCAACTTGTGATTTTTCTGCTCTTCATAACTGAATCTTTCTTCAACTGAAACTTTATGTTGAATTCAAGAATATTACCTATATAGGAGCAGACCACCTTAAGATTACAGTGGGGAAGTTCCTTCCTTCACAATGCCGTCACTTTGAGAAGTCCCCTAATTCCCCTCCAGCAAACCCTTTTAAAAACTATTTTTAAAACCAGTGGTTTGGGAAGGAGGATGTGCTCTAGTGGGTGCATGATTGCCTAGCATTCATGATGCCCTGGTTTTGATCCCCAGCATCAGAAAAAAAAAGCAATGGTCCTCAGAATGTGGCCCATAAAGCAGCAGCTCCAGCAAAACCCCCCCACCCCCGGCCCCGGGAACTCAGTAGAAAGCATCAGATCCTACCTTCACACTACTGAATCAGGTCTGTGTTTTACAGCCTCTTCTGATACATAAATTGCAGTTTACTAATGAAAACAACCAGAGAAGGGGCAATTTGAGTTGCATCCTGAAGGAAGGGAAGGGATAAGCAAGAGAACAGATGAGCCAGCTAGTCTGGGAGAGAAACAAAGACAAAAGAAGGAAAAATGACAAAGGGACTTAGAGCAGAAGGTTCATCATGCAAAGTGCAGAGTGGCAGGATCAGCCTAGTTAGGGACATCTGGGTATAGCAAACACCAGGAGGGAGAGCTTACCCACTGGCCTCTGTGTATCCTGGAAAGTAGGCCTCTGTGTTCCTGGAATCCATGGGCCAAATGTAGAGGACAGAGAACCGAAGAGACCAGGCCACGTGTATTCTGACAAACCATATCCCTGACAAGAAGCACATGGTATCACACTGGCTTGTGTTTAAACAAGTGACTCTATCTCTTGCCTCTGTATATAGTGGACGCTTTCAGGAGATGGCTCCTGTTAAAGGTTGTGAGAATGTTTGGCAAACTTGAGTAGTGACAGGGGCCTGTAGAGGAGAGGAGGTGGAAACCAAGTTTCGGGGATAGCCAGGCAGTGTCCAAAGCTTAGGACTATTCCAAAGCAGTCCAGTATCTTCTTGCCCTGCTGGGGACAGTGGCTTGGTAAAAGGTGATGTTGGTAGTAGAAATCTGTAATCACCATGCTGAGTTATGAGATAGGAAAATAGAATTGCTGCCCACGAAAGCTCCCAGTAAACAGTTGAAGTTCAGAAAGTGGCCCTTGAAGACTCCAGACTCTTGGCCCAATCCATGGGAGGAGCTGAGTCACACCTGCCCAGCAAGCTTGACTTGAATTTTCAAGCCAAGCCTGGTGACAGATTCTTTAGCATCCTTCAGCTCACGATTATAAGGGGCCCCAGGCTCCAGAAATCCCATGTTAAAATAGTTTTGCTTCCTGATACAGTCCTCTGAGCCAGTCCTATTTTGGCCCTAGTACAGGTTCAATATCTTTCATCCAACATGCTTGAGACTAGAGGTGTTTTTTATTTCAAATGTTTTCATATTTGTGGATATTTGCATATACATACTTGGGATGGGATCCAAATTTAAACATGAAATTCACTTGTGTTTCATATAAATCAAATACGTAGTGCCTAAAAGGAATTTTAAATACTCTTTTTACTGTGCCTGTGCTTTGACTATGACCCATTACCTGAGGTCAGGTATGGAACATTTTGCTTGTGACATATTGGTGTCAAAATTTTTCAAACTTTTTTTTTTGGAGTATTTGGATCTTGTATTTTTAAATTAGAGCAGCTCAACCTGTAGGACTGTCTTCCACTCATTGATTTGGTAAACACTCATCAGGCACCTTATTTGGAGCAGGCCTAGGCCAGAGATAGGAACACAGGATTAAATACACACAGCCCAGGGGAAAAGACACACATATGAACCAGCAGTAGCAGAGTCACACATGCAATGGAGACACCAGCATTGTGCTGTGCAAATGTTTTGCATGGAAGACCAGGAAAGAGTCCCCGGAAGGGATAATGTTTGTGTTGCGGGTTACCATACACTGAGAAGCATTTCCATAGTCTAAAAAGGGGAGAAACCCTGGGGAGGAAGGTACTTCATCAGTAGAAGCTGTACTAGAAGACCCTTGGGTTAAACAAGGGCACAGGCTGAGCTGTCAGCAGCTGAGGGGATCAGGAGGCCATTCTAGAAAAAAACAAAAATAAAGAAAGGAGATCTTCTCCTTAGAGTCACCTCAGTGACCTCCTTGCAACCCAGGAAGGCAACCTCAGCCTTGTGGTGACAGCCAGAAAGCCAAACCAGAGTCAACCTATTAGGGAAGTTGGGATCCTACGGACTTTTGCCCACTGAGGACCCCACAGACAACGCTGTGGTAAGGAAGACCAACCAGAGCCCCTGAAGAACTTAGCACCTGAAGCAACTGAGTCCCAGGGTCTTCCTCCTGCTGATACCTGCTTTTACTCAGCTATTCAGCTGTGGTAATGAGATGTGGTAAAGGCACATCAAGATCCCATCAGGTCTCCAGAGAAATACACAGAAAGGTCCTGAGCCCTGCCCTACCTCACAGTGAGACAGAGTTCTCTAATCCTCAGTAGTAAGGCTTGTTAGGAAGCATATTCATCAGGTTTCAAAGCCAAGGGACCAAGCAAGGAAAGTCATGGGGTAGCAGAGCTCTGAGTACGTTAGGGAGCACTGGAGGCTGCAGTAGTCCGAAGTGTACCGGCCACATACAGAGAGGGGCCGCTGACCTCATCCCCAACAGATACTGCCGTAGGGCAATGCAGATTATCAAGAGAAGCTAAAAAGACTGATTTTTGTGCGAAATATTCCAATTTTTAAATATCTGGCATTTTAAAAAAGCAAGCAAGCTCTACCTGGCACAGAGCATGTTTCTGGAGTCTTAATTACCACAATTCCATTTACTGCGAGATCTTTGTCTCATCTGAGCTTCAGCACAAGCCCCAGGCAAGCAGCACCACTCCTCTTTGAGGGATAAGGAGTCTGATATTCAGAGAAAGATACTAAGTGGCAGAGCTGAGGTTTAAACCCAGGTCAGGGGCTGGGCATATAGCTCAATGGCATAGTGCCTGCCTGGCAAGCACAAGGTTATGAGTTTGAAAAAAAATAAACAAAAACCTCCTAAACCCAGGTCAGGCTTCCACCAAATTGTGCTCTGCGGACTCCGCCACCCTACCCTGTGGGCACAGCCTCCTTATTGGCCACAAGGCTTAAAGAGGGCAGGAGAGCACAAGAGTCAAGCTGTGATTCAACTAAACTGCAGGCACTTTTTTGTTCTTGTGGGGCTTTACCACCACCTATTGGTCGTATTTGGCATCCAGGTGAGACCCACCAGCACCTGGAGGAATGACCACCCTCATAATCCCCCTTTTTTGAACAATGGCATAGGGTCCTGTGGCTAAGAGATGGGACCAAAGATTGCACTGGACACTTAAGTCTCTTGTTTCCAAATAGCAAAAGAACTGTGCCTCACACCTATGAGTGTTAAGGCTAAATGAGAGAAGTCAGGTACCTTTGGTACCTTTGCATAGAGCTCCCGGCTCTTCCCAAACACTGAACACATGTTTGCCCACCGTTGTTACTAAAAGCACAAGAGAAGTTAATGCCAACATGACCAGAGCATGTGGTCATGCCAGCCCAGGAGGAGCCATCCAGCCCAACTCTGCCACCTTCCATGCTGTCTCCCTGCCCTTCACACCGCCTCAGTCTGACCCACTAGAGAGTGAGAAGGACCCCAGGCATCCTTCTTTCCCCTCAATTTGAAATCCTCAAATATCTCTCAAGGAGACTAATTTCTGGAGCTAGGCAGTATACTGTGACCATGTCTTTTAATGCAAACAACAAGGTTTCATTTGTTTCTCTTGTTTTATACTTATAGAGTCATTCTTCCCATTGGTATTTTATTTCAAAGGCCAACACATTTTTTAAGACAAATAGAATGGAGTCATCCTGATCTGGAGATGGTGGTAATCAGAGCTTTCAGCCCTGCTACCCCAAACCTCCAGGGATCTACCATGTGAAAAGCACTAGCTTTAAGCACCATTTCCAGGAAACTCTGGTTAAGCTGAGCCAGGAACAAAGTGACCCATTAACCATGACTGATTGGTACAGACGAAGTTACAGAGGCTTTGATTTGAAATCCATCTAGAATTTGAGCTTCAGTTCCATCACTTCCAAACGTCCTGTTCTTGGTCAAGTTCTTTATGTTGCTTCCCTGTAACATGGGGTTCACAAGAGTACACTCCTCAGAGATGGTAATGAACCAGTGAAATATATAGAAACTCAAAACCTTGAGCAGCTGTAAGGTTGAAGAATCAAGATACAGGTTCTACTATGGTCCACTGACTTACTCCACCAGCCAGAGCCTTCAGAGGTCATGCACCAGGGCCTGGGCTAACCCAGGAGTTCAGGAGACAGAGAATGGAACCAGCATCCAGGAGGATCTGGTGTGAGTGTTCATTCTACTTGTGTGCATCTAGAATGGAAACAGCCACCCTCCTCCCTAAACCTTAATTCTGGGAGTACCCACACCTCCCAGACCTGCAGCCATGCCCACAGCTCCCTTCAGGGCTGGCAGCTGGATCCCCATATCCCATGTGTTGAAGACCTGGCTGCCCCTCTGTGTTGCTACTGTGAGGCAATGGAACTTCAAGGAATTGAAGCCTGGAGAGAGGACATTGGGGCATGCCTTTGAAGGGGATACCGGGCACTGGCCCCTTCTCTTGTGTTTTGCTTCCTGGCTGTGATGAGGTGACAAGGCCTCCTCTGCCACATGCTCCCACCATAGTGTACTGTGCCACTACAGACCCAAAAGAACAGGGCTAAGTGACCATGGACTAAAATCTCAAAACTGAGAGCCCAAACAAACTTTTCCTCCATTATTGGTTTCTAATTTTAGCTTTCCTACAAATTTTGTCTCTGGTATATACTAGTTGGGTGATCTCATACAAAGCACTTAACCTCTCTAGGCATCAGTGTCTTTATCTGTGACATGGGGTCTCTGGTATTTAGAGATATCCCATTTCATAGTTGTGCCATTGAAATTATGCGACCCAGTTAGCATCCCGTCCAGCCCATTGTAAGCCCTTGGAGTGGCTGCTGAGACCAGCAGAGGCACCATGAAGAAGGTCAAACCTTTGCTCTGTCATTTATTAGCTGTGAAGTCTTGGGTTAACCATGTAACTTCTCCGAGCTTCCATCTCCTCATTTCTGTAATGGGAACAATAGACTTACTTGGCAGAAGTGTTGTAATTTCCCGAAATGTGGTACAACATGATGTTGGTGGCTCATGAGATGAATTTAGGTAGAAAAAAGACATGGTACTGCTATTTCAACTGAGAGAATTTACTTCCTATGCACTAGAAAAACTTAAAATCACACTAAAACCTTTTTTTCTTGAATAGTATCTGTAGAGCAGTACCAAACTTCTCTGCTTACTGATACTCAAAGGGGATATAGAAAATGCGTTAAATAAAGAATGTCCAGGTGACATGCAGATAGAGTCACAATAAAGAAGGTAACTGAAAGATAGATTGCCTAGTGCTATTTATTGACAATGCAAATACATGCTGATTACTAAATATAGTACCTGACACTAGACAGGATTTTGTAATAGAAGGAAAAAATACTACAAAGGATATTTTTGGGTCCACTAAAAAAATCTGAACAGAAGATAAAGAATGATATGTTTACTACATTTACCTGAGTTGTTAGCTATGCTATGTTTATTTGAGAGAATATCCCCATCTTCGTGAAGTGCACAGGGAGATATCCTAGGGTTAAGGACTATAATGTATGTATCTTTAAATGGCTCAGGAAATTTGTGGGTTGGGGAAATAAATGATGAAGCAAGTGTGGATAATAGGAGAAGCTGGGTTGTATTTGCTGTGCTACATCTTTGCAACTTATTTAAGTTTGAAGTTGTCTCCAAATGAAAAGTAAAAGCCAGACATGGTGGCATGTGCCTATAATCCCAGAACTCGGGATGCTGAGGCAGGATTGCCTGGAGGTCAAGGCTAATTTGGTCTATATAGTAAGTTCAAGGCCAGACTGAACTACATAGCAAGATCCTGTCTCAAAAGACAAACCAACAACAGAAAAAAAAAAATGTAAAACAAAATGCAAATGCTGCTAGGCAGGTCAGCATCCTGCCTGGCCATGGAAGGCACTCAGGAAGACCATCTGCTGTTTCCTTTCTTTCTTGCCTAGTGTGGAGACAGTAAATGATGGACAATTCCACAGCGTGGAGCTGGTGATGCTTAACCAGACCTTGAACCTGGTGGTGGACAAAGGAGCACCAAAGAGCCTTGGGAAGCTCCAGAAGCAGCCAGCAGTAGGCATCAACAGCCCTCTCTACCTTGGAGGTAACGCTCCCCAGAACCATCCTCTGGCCCCTCTCTGGTCCCCTTCTCAGCATCTGCACCCAGACCTACCGCCAAGGGCTCCCTACTCTCAGCTCAGCATCCACTGCCAAAGCCCATCAGATATTTCCTGGAGGAAGTAATGGCAAAGCTGATTCCTCAGAGGTTGAATATGCATTAGCCTTCATGGACACAAAAGTACTTTGGAGACAGACTTGGACAGGAAACAGCAGGACTCTTTGTGGGGACTTCAAGGTGCTTAGAGAGGTGCTGAGGCTGGGGGTAAGGTGCAGATGGGTTGGGGATGGTGAGAAGAGAAACAGCCGGAAAAGGAAACATGTCTGGGCTCTAGCCTGCAGGCAAGGGTCAGTCGATGAATGGGGAAGCTCAAGTTTGGGGGAAAAAAACACAAGTTGCTACCAGGCTAGCAAAGTCAGAGCTGTTTGTTCCACACAGGTGTCAGCAGTGACACCAAGAGATGTCCTCTAAGGGGCTTCCATAAATGTCCAAGAATCTGGGCCGGGGAATTAGCTCAGTAGCAGAAGGGCCTGCCTTGCAAGCACGCAGCTGTGAGTTTGGTCCCCAGTACCAAAAAAAAAGTTCAAAAATCTGCAATGTCAGGCTACTGCCCAGAGGCAGGAAGCCAGAAAATGCACCTGGCCCAGATCCAGCCCAGAAAGGACAGCTTCTCCCCAGAGGAAGGCTGCTGCTCCCCTCCCAGAACCTGCTCCAGGTATAGCCAGAGCAACCCAGAGTCCTCTGCTTCCAGCCTGCAGACTGGCCTCAGGCTCTCTGTGTATGAGATGGGCAGCTAACAGTACAAAGCGGGGAGAAAACACAAGTCGGACCCAATGGGAAAGCAAATCAGGTCTTTACCAACAGTCTCTCAAACATCCTGGAAAAAAGAGTTCACAGCACAGAGGACAGCAGTCTGAAACCTTGAACGCCAAAGTTCCACTAATGAAGACCGTTCCCCACATCACATCTACTCCCCCAAACTTCAGCTTGTTTTCCCTCAGAGCTCAGAGTAGAAGAGCTGGAATAAGGAGATGCCCAGACTCGGGAAATCAGCAGAGAAGGTTAGAGTACAGTCCATCCCAGGTCTATGAGGGATAGTGGTTCTCAGCTGAGCCAATCAGACCACATGGCAGTGGGTGACCAGACTAGGTCAAGTACAAGCGATAGACATTTGTGAGAAATTCTTTACATTTAAATTGTAGCAAGAAATTTAAAATTTTAAGTAGTCCTTTCACAGGACCCAGGATGCCTGTCCCTGTGTGGATAAGGCCCAGGTTTTGGGCCTTGATGTGAACACCAGAGGTCACAGGCTCTACACTAAGAAGGAGGAGTTCAAACCCTGAGGACGGCTGGGTGCTGGCTGTGACAAGCTGGGTGGGCAGGGAAGGACTTTTAGGCTGTCCTGAAACCTGTCTCCAACAGGCATTCCCACCTCCACGGGCCTCTCAGCCTTGCGCCAGGGCGCCGACCGGCCTTTGGGTGGATTCCATGGCTGCATCCATGAAGTGCGCATCAACAACGAGCTCCAGGACTTCAAGGCTCTCCCACCACAGTCGCTGGGGGTCTCTCCAGGCTGCAAGTCCTGCACCGTGTGCAAGCATGGCCTGTGCCACTCAGTGGAGAAGGACAGCGTGGTATGTGAGTGCCACCCGGGCTGGACTGGCCCACTGTGTGACCAGGAAGCCCGGGACCCCTGCCTCGGCCACAGGTCAGTGTCCTGCAAGACCCAGACTCCCTATGTACATGCTGTCTCTGCCCTTGCCTGAGGAGGGAGCGCTGATGGAGACAGAGGCATTAGGATCACACTGAGGAAACTGCTGCAGAAGTTATAAATCTCAGCAGCTGGTCTCACTCAGAGACATCATCATGCGCAGACTCTTGTCTTTACCAGGTGGCCTGAAAACTTATCCAGAGCTGCCCCAAGCTTTAGGCCACCTCTGTGTGACTAAAGAAAGGTGTCCCTTTGGAGAGGTAGTGCCCACATGCACTTGGCACGGCAACTAGAATTAGGGTGAATTTTAGTCCCTTGGCTATTGCCCTGAGTGAGACTGCAGAGCTGCATGAGCATACACAGCTGAGTCGTGTTTAGTGGTTTAGTCATTCATTATTCATTGAGCAAATATATATTGAGGGCCCAAGCCCTCACGCCTGTAATCCCAGCACTTGGGAGGTTGAGGCAAGAGGATCATTGCAAGTTCAAGACCAGCCTGGATAACAAAATGAGCTCAAGGCCTGCCTGAACTGCATAGAGACACTGTCTCAAAAAAGACCAAAAAAAAAAAAAAAAAAAAAAAATATATATATATATATATATATATATATTTGTTTTTTGGAGAGCCCACTATGTGCTAGGCTCATGCTAAATATAAGAGATGCAGTATTCCTAATGTTAAGGCATCTAAATCAGTCAAAAATAACACAAGAGCCAAAACTGGTTATTTCGTTGGCTGAACAAGCTGGAAAATAATACTTTGGATCAGGAAGGGAGGAGAGCTATAAAGGGTTTGCACCTCCTGTTGCTTCTGAGTATGTGTGACTCTAGAATTAACATGAATCCTACCTCTGAATGTCATCCCAGTAGGGATGTTTTCAGATTTTGGAATTCTTGCATATATACATAATGAGATACCTTGAGGATGGGACCAAAATTCTCAACATGGAATTCATTTGTTTCCTATCCAGCTTATACACATAACATGAAGGTAATTGTATGCAAGATTTTTAGAGCATCTACATTTTGACTATAACACATCACATGGGGTCAGGTGTGGAATTTTCCACTTGTAGTATCATATTGGTGCTCAAAAATTTTGAACTTTGGAGCATGTTGGATTTCAGATTTTGGATTAGGAATCACACCCTGTAGTAGTAATAGCCTTCACTATCATTTAAGACGGTGAAGCCATTAAAATGTTTACAGAAAGTTTATATTCTTCCAAGCAGCAGCTTGCCACTTGGATGCATGAGTGCTGGTTTGTGTGTGCAAAAATAGCTCCTATTGTGGTTGAAGGGCCTACAGCTCTTGCTTGGTTTAAGCCTGGTTCATGGCTGGGGTGGGAAAAGAGAGCCTCTAGCACCACTGACTCTGGTCTCGTTCCTCCCGCTTTCTCCACCTCTTTGCCCCCAGCTGCAACCACGGGAGGTGTGTGGCAACCGGGAACTCATACGTCTGCAAATGTGCTGAGGGCTACGGAGGGGCTTTGTGCGACCGCAAGAATGATTCTGCCAGTGTGTGCTCAGCCTTCAAGTGCCACCATGGACAGTGCCAGATCTCAGATCAAGGGGAACCCTCCTGCCTGTGCCAGCCTGGCTTTAGTGGGGAGCACTGTGAACAAGGTGAGTCTAGTATCCTCATGGGGGTGAGGAGAAACAAGAGTGGTCCCATAATCACAATACCTACGCTTCAGGGCTGCCTGTGCCACATAGATGATGCATAGCCTTGGTGCTGTCACTTTTTAAGCCTCAATTCCCTCATCTTGAAAATGAGGGCAGTATTATACCTTTTACTATCACATGTTTACTACTGCAATAACAAACTAGCTCTAAAACTTAGCACCTCAAACCACAGTAAACAATTTTTTTCATCTGATAAGGTTTTGATGGGTCAGAAATGTAAGGACAGTTTAGCTGGAGTCTCGCAAGAATACACTTACTAAAATGAAGGCTGCAGTTTTGTAGAAGTTAACATGAGACAGCAAGAGATGCTTCTAATGTGCTGCATTCCCATTGCGGTGGCTTTTGGCAGGAGGCCTCAGTTTTCCCCTGTGTATCTCTACATGGGCTACTTGGCAGTCCTCATAACAAAGAAGCCAGATCAAGAGAGCAAAAAGGAAGCCACAAGGTCTCATATGATCTGACTATGGGATTAACTTGCACTGTCGTCCCTAAATCACACTGGTTCCATGCATCAGTCACATTCAGTGAGGCAGGGACCACACAGAGGACAGACACCAGGAGGTGGTGGCCACTGGGAGCCACTTTAGAGCCTGACTACAATATTGCCTTGTAGGTTGTGGGGAAGAGGACATGAGATGTAAAGTTCATGACACCAGACACAGTGCTAAGAATCTGACAGCTGAACTGCATAACCTAGTTTCATGAAAACAAATCTAGATTAAGAGTCTGAAACTTGGAAGCAACATTGTCATGAGGAAAAAGAACAAGTTCTGTCGCATGGCACCCATGTGCCTAATAGAAACATATTTTTAACTGTCTGGGTCATAAGTTCTTATTCGATTCATAGCACCTTCTGCATCAGTATAATATAAAGACTAAGATTTGGTAAATAAAGGATTGAGACTCTTGAGGAACATCAGCAAGATGGCTGGCTAGAGATGGCTAACAGAAGCATCCCTTAACACACTAAAGAGCCCAACCAGCAAACAGACAATTACATTTGACTGGCATCTCTAAAAGAGTGCTGGAATACAGTAAGAGAGCAGGGAGACCCTCCGACCATAGATACCCAAGGTGGCAGCAGGCGAGGAGAGTGGATCACCCCATCTTCACACTGGCTCAAAGACAGGAGGGACTTCTACTTGCAGGGAAAAGACGAGAAGTGTCCCCCAAACACACACACACACACACACACACACACACACACACACACACACACTGACACCACCCCCGCCACCATACACCTGACACCACAGGCACTGCTAACGTATGTCATGAGCTGTGGGCGCTGCGTCTCTCCATCCTTCATCAACCTTCACTCCTGTGAGTGAACAGTGCCATGGTGCCAGCCGCTTAAATCTAGAAAGAGTGGGACACCTGTGACCTTGATACCTAATCCCAACAGACACCCTGCACAGCAGGAGGCTGACCTGATCTGCTCCACATAACCCCTCAACCTGAAAACCAGTGAAGCTCCACCCTGACCACCACACACTCCAGCAGTATAGGACACTGAGGCACTCTGAAGCCGACATTAATTATAGCAGAAGAACCGCATGGAGACCACACTGTTGCATCCAGCTAAAACCAAAGCCAACACACCCCATCCAAATGACACCCTGGAGCCCACCTGCTGGAGGAAATCTTTCTCTACAATGCTACTCCATAAAACTAGAAGAGACAGACATTCTACCAGATACAGATATCAACATAAGGATATAAGAAACATGAAAACAAAGGAAACATGATGCCAAATGAACACAGGAATTCTCCAGTAACTGATTACAAAAAAATTGTGTGAAAGAAGAATTTGAGATAATGATCCTAAAGAAACTCAGTGAGATACAAGAGAATGTAGACTGATAATTCAATGAAACTTCAATTCATGACCTCAGAGATTCAATAGAGCCATAAAAGTGAAGGAAAAGCCTAACAGAAATATTGGAGCTGAACAATAAATGAAATTTAAAAATGTAGAATTTCAACAATAGATCAAGCATAAGAAAAAATGTCTAAATTTGAAGACAAGTCCTTTGATACAATCTAATCAGGGGGCCAAAAGGAAAAAAAGAATAAATCAAGAAAGGTTACTGAAGTAACAAGACACCATTAAAGAGGAAAATTATTACAGAATCCCAAGAGGAAGAAAAGAAAAAGAAGAACACTGAACACTTATTTAATGAAATAACAGCTAAAAATACCCAAATCATACAAGAGCGATGGATAACTACATTCAGGAAGCTGGGTCACTAGATTCTATCCAAAAGAATCCTCTCCAAAGCACATTTATAATCAGATTGTTAAATGCAAAGGCAAGGAAAAACATTCTACAAGCAGCAAAAGAAATGCAGTGAATCACATGAAATATTCCCCGAGACTATCCACAGATTTCTCAGCAGAAATTGGAGTTCAAGAACAAATGAGACTTGTTCAAAGTGCTGAACTCAAAACCTGCCAGCCAAAAACACTATATCCTGCAATGCTATCCTTCAGAATTAAAGAAGAAATCATCTTTCTCAGACAAGCAAAAGCTGAGATAGCATCACTAGACCAGCCTTACAGACATGCTTAAGAGAGTACTCCAACTAGAAGTGAAGAACAACTCCCTGGCAGAAGTTAATTTATAATCAAATTAAAAATAGGCCATTACTATTAATGATGGCATATAAATCTTCAGATCTATAGTACGAAAATTAAAAGTCAACGTGGTCAAGAAAAACTGTGGCTAAAATAAGTTGTTAAGAAATATAAAACAGGGGCTGGGGATTTAGCTCAGCGGCATAAGCACCTGCCTGGCAAGTGCAAGGTCATGAGTTCGATCCCCGGTACCAATAAATAAATAAATAAAACAGGGCTGGGAATTTAGCCCAGCAGCACAAGTGCCTGCTTGGCAAGTGCAAGGTTGTAAGTTTGATCCCCAGTACCGAAAAAGAAAGAAAGAAAGAAATGTAAAACATAAAAATGTAAATTAAGGCAACAAAGATATAAACTGTAGGAAGAAGGCAAAACTAAGTGATCAGCATTGTTACCAGCTGAAAATAGTTTATTATAACTACAAAATTCTTTATGATAACCCCACAATAACCTGACACATATACAGTTAACACTAGACACACAAATGAAAACCAGAAGAGAACCAAAGCTTAGCACTACAAAAAGACCACAAAGGTGCCAGGTGTGGTGGCACATACCTGTAGTTTCAGCACTCGGTAGGTTGAGGCAGGAGGATTGCTGAGAGTTCAAGGTCAGCCTGGACTGCGTAGTGAAACCCGTCTCAAAAAGACAGGAAAAAAAGAAAGAAAGAAAGAAAGAAAGACAAACTAAATAAAAAAGGAAAGAAGAAAGGATTTACAAAACAACCAGGAAGCAATTAACAAAGTGACAATAGTAAACCCTTACCTATCAATAATAGCCTTGAAGATAAATGGATTAAGTTCCCCAGTTGTGGCCCAGGGATGTATAGTAGCTCGGTGGTACAGTGCTTGTTCAGCATGTCTTAAGTTTCTCGGTTCAATCTTCAGCACTACAACAAGAAAAGATACAGAGTGGCTGAAAAGATTTATAAAAGAAGACAAGACTCTATGCTGCCTATGAGAGGCTTACTTTATCTGCAAGGAGACATAAAACCTGAAAGTGAAGGGGTGGAAAAGGTAGTCCATGCAAGTGGAAACCAAAAGTAACCAGAGTAGCCATATTAGATGACAGTGACTTGAAATCAAAAATCGTGGTGCACACTATAATCCCAGCACTTGGGAAGCTAAGGCAGGAAGACCTGGGTAAGTTCGAGGCCAGTCTGGGCGACATAGTGAGACTGTCTCAAAAAAAATCAAAAATTATAAGAGATAAGACCATTACATGATAATGTGAAAAAGGCCAATTCAGCCAGATAATATAACAACTATAAATATATGTATGTGAATATGTAAAGAATATATTAATAAATCTAAGAGAGAGACTGCAATAGAATCATAGTAGGGAAAGTCACCCCACTCTCATAAATAGGCAGATCATCCAGACAGAAACTCAACAAAGAACTGGAATTAAATGGAACTATACACCAAATGAAACTAGTGGATTTTTTTGTTTTGTTTTGGTCCCAGGGATTGAACTCATGACTGTGTGCTTGCAAGGCAGGCCCTTATGCCTTTGAGCTAAAGCTCCGGCCCCTGAAACTAATAGATATTTATAAAACATGTCACCGAACAACTGCAGAATGCACATTTTCATTAGCATATGGAACATTTTCCAGGATAAAGCATACGTTAAGCCACAAAACAAGTCTTAAATCTAAGAAGAAAGAAGTCATGTCCTGTATCTTTTTAAACCACAATCGTATAATACTAACTGTAGTAACTTTGGAATCTTTATAAATACACAGAAATCAAATAACATGTTTCTGAATAACCGATGGGCAAGTGAAAAAATTAAAAGACGAATTTTAAAATGTTTTAAGACAAAGAAGCCAACCAATAACACATATGGGTGGTGTTGTGGGGGGAAAGGAATCTCTCTCCATTGTTGATAGAAGTGTAAATTGGTACAATTGCTATGGAAATCAGTATGGCAATTCCTCAAAAAACTGAACTAGAGGTTCCATTTGACCCAACTATTGTGTTTTCCTACAAAAGTTAAAAGCATCATACCACAGTGATACGTACATTCCATGTTATAAGCAACACAGTTCATAACAGCTAAATCTTGGCAACAGCCCATATGCACATCAACAGATGAGCAGAAAAAGAAAATATAGGATTTATACATAATGAAGTGCTACTCTACCATAACAAAGGCTAAGCTTGAGTCATTGTTAGGTAAATGGATGTACTTTTTCATAATTTCCAGGGAAGTAAATCAGATGCACGGGTTTAAGTATTACATTGTTTCTCTTGTGTGAGAAACCCAAAGGGTAAATAAGGAGTAAAACAGGGGATAAATATTGG